CGGCAGAAACCAACATGGCTGCTACAGTAACAGCTCCAACCTGTGAGTGTCCCACAGGGACGAACCAAGACATCAGTAGCAAATTCTTTCAGTCCTGTGAGCTGAGAGGTGGAGCCGATGTGGCCTAGACTTAGTCCACCATGTCTCCCACATCCATCATGTCAACTATGAGAACAGATGTTCACTTCCTGTCTAATACTTCCAGACCTCCATGAGACACCATTATGACATAATCAGAGTTATCTCTTCATCTGACAGTTGTGTGTGTGTTTACCTGTGCGAGCTGTGACAGGTGTACCAGGTGACAGAGGGGGCTGGAGCTCCTTCGCTGATACACAGCACCGCCGTACCGCCGACCTCCGACAGAGATATGATCCTGGGAAGCACTGCACACACAAACACATGTAAATGCTTTATGAAAGCTACCAGTTACATTAACAAGGTGTCAGCACCCAAGTATCTGCTGTCTGTCATTCTTCAACACGTTGACTTCCTGTTGCAGCTGAGATGAGACCATGTGTCAGGTGCTGTCTGACCTTTAGTAAACCTGCTAATCATAACCTACCACACACACACACACACACACATCCTCAACAACATCAGATCTGGGAAACTTCGACTGGAATGTGGACATACCCTGAGTGGACTGAGACGACTGGTGCGGTGGTTAGAGCAGTCATATCCCAACCAGAAGGTTGAAGGTTTGAATCTCGGTGCCGGCAGTCCATGGGTCGAAGTGTCCTTGGGCAAGACACTGACTGTTCTGACCTAATTAGCCTAACTGCCTCTTTTATTGTATTTAATTAATATAATTTTAGTCTTATATGCTGTTGTAAAAGGCTAGTTGTACCAAAAGTATTAGACCTTGGACTTTTTATATATTACTCATATATTCAGTTTCTTTTATATGTAAATGAGATTCTGGTTCAAAATAGATGCCGATCACAATGTGAGAGGTACCGGATCCTTCTTGTTCTGGCACAAATTAACCACTGGTAACATACACACACACACACACACACACACACACAGCTGTCAATCATCCTCTCCCTGACCTTTGATCTCCAGGTTGAACACAGCCTCCTCAGCGGCATCGTCATTGAAAACAGTTGCCATGTAACTTCCTGTCTGATCCATCTGGACTCGAACCAGCGTCAGTGTGGTCACATACCTGCACATCAATCAGTCAATCAGACCTTGTGTTCTTCTTAAATGAACACTTCGACCAGTATGCTGTACTTCTGCCCTAACCTCTGACTCTGGCCTACCTGCTGCCAGTCAGGTGTGTGGTGGTTGTGGAGGTGGTTTCTGTGGCGATGGTCTGGTTGTCTTTAGTCCAGAGGACAGTGGGTGCAGGATAGGCATCGACCTCTACTCTGAAATCCACTGTGTGATGGAGGAGAGATGACACGTTGGTCTCACCTGAGGGCCACAGGGAGACGTAACCTCGATCTGCACAGAGAAAGAGACACACTTCACCTTAGTGCATGTATATGTGTGTGTTACCTACGTAAGTGTGTTTACCTTTGTACACCTGTGTGCATGTTTTTTTTTGCATGTACTGACCCAGTACTGTCACCGTGATGTTTTTTGTCACAATTTGCTCCTCCTTCGTCTCCTGCACCGTGCACACATACACACCTACAGGAGACATAGCCTCATCACATCACCACAGTAATGCAAAAAACAAACAACTAAATCCACAACAAACACAGCTGATAAAAGTTACCATAGCAACTGATAAGAGTCTCCATAGACTGTGTTTGAATTCTAGTGCCTTCAGTGTAAACTGTCAGGAGCAGCAATGGCCTACCTGAATCTGCCACCGTTGCTGTGGAGATGTTAATGACGGAGCAGATCTGACCGGGCAGAAAATCTGTCAGCGGCTCTATTTCCTGAGGAAAAAACCTTCACATTAGTAAAGTGAGATAAAGTAATTAAATTTACTGATATCATGGATCAGGCAGGTAGAGAGACAAGTACCTGTCTGCGGGGGAAGTCCCACTTGAAGAAGACCATCACAGTGTCTTTGACAGTACAATTTACAGTGAGAACCTCCCCCTGCTTCAGCAAAGGGCTGGACACTGTCAGATCCACCTCCATCACCTTAGGGACTGAGAGAGGCAGGTGGGTAGAAAGGTGGAGACAGAGACAGGTGGCAAGAGAGACAGCATCTTAAAGAGCCCATGGCTGCTCGTTTTGCTCATTTCCAGCCATTAATTGTTTAATCTTGGGTACCTCTAGATTAGCTTGGCACCCCTCATAACACCAAATAGTCTGTAATTATGTCAGAATGATAAATCCAGAGAGCCTCTTCTAAAAACGAGAGGATAGATGAAAATGCACACCTCCTTCTGCCAGTGTGTTGTGTCACAAGTGGTCAGCACAACAAACCACAATGGCATTAATTAATATGAATTTTTCCTCCATAGATAGGTAAACAGCGGTATATGTACTGATGAAAAGAGATGTATAACACCCTAAACAAAGAGGGTAACTGAGAAACCCCATATTTTAACTGGCATAATGCAGACATAGTAAGTTCTCCAGCCTTACAACAATTCTATCTAACGTTTCAGAAACAAGGCATTAACAACACGCAACGTGTGTTTTTAAAACTTAGTCTTAAGTCCCACTGAGTAGTGGAAACAACACTTCCTTTCAAATAGCTCCAAGGTTGGTAAATCCAACCAGTGGTCACATCTTCCCCCACACCCTAAAATGACAATTCACCGTTGTAACATTGTAGATAAATCAGAAAATGAGGAAAAGCACTGTGGGCTCTTTAAACAATTTCAACTAATCTAAGAGAATCAACATGACCCTGATCTAATCTAATTCCATTTTAATTATAACGTAATACAAACTAATACTAATCTAAAGAAGCATAATCATTTCTTCGTCTAATCCAACATAATATAAACTAATCCTAACCTAGTCTAGATCTAACATAAATGAATCTAATATAATCCCAATGCCTAATCAGTTACAGTTTAAATTAACCCAGTCTAATTCAACCCTATTCTGATATAATGCTAACCCTAATCTAACCAAACTCACCTACGATGCTGAAGACGTAAAATACCTGGGACTCCCTCTCCTCAGCACCGTGGGCGGCCAAGCACACATATGATGTGTCATTCAGAGGACCTGTGAAGCCGTGACCAGGCTTGTATGTCAGTCCGGTAACTGGCATCCTTCTGCCACGCTCGAACAGTGAGACATTGAGCCGCGGGTCGGACACCACGCAGGGGATGGTACCTTCTTCAGTCTCCTTCATCACCACACCTGGACCCTGTGGGATGAACCATTCTTCTGGACCTGAGAGAGGAGAGATGGGACAGACACATCAGGAGAGACAGGTCTCACAGGTAGGACGAATACAGATCAATATGATAGACCTAAGGGCACCTTGTCCAGGTATGAAGATGTCGACCTCTCTGCTCTGATAGGACGACACCTCCTCACAGGTGTATCTCCCAGAACTCATCCAAGTGACGTTAAAGAGCCACAGCACGCTGCTGGAACCCTGATCCTCCACAACAACCCCATCTGCCGGAGAGTCCTGAGGTAGTCGCCATGTCACCTGACTCCACCCCGAACACACCTGTGGAGACAGATAGATACCTGAACACACCTGAAGAGACAGCTGTGTCACCTGACTCCACCTCAAACACACCTGAGGAGACAGACAGATGGGGCGTTACTGACCACAGAGAAGTTGGAGGTTGAGCTCAGTAGAACCTCAGAGGCAGATGGCTGCAGCTCCAGACAGACGCCCCCTTCAGGACAGACTAGAAACACACCTACAGACAGAGGGATTGCAAGACAAATAGGTAAACAGACCAACAGGTGTCACTCCACCTGCAACCTTTTACTGATGGTTTGTTTTTTGTTACCTACCTAACAGGAAGTGCAGCAGGCTCAGGCTTCCTGTCTGTCCTCTCATAGACACTATCATGGCTGCTGAGCCTGACCAATGACAACACAGAGAGGAGAGATTTCAAAATAAAAGTCTTAGTCTGATGTTGTCTACTTAGAGAGAATTTTAGTCAACAACACACCAACGCATTTGTACACTGTGTGCAGGACTTCTACTTTTAACAGAGAATTTCTACACAGTGGGGTTAATACTTTGACTGTGGACTCACTGAAACCGAAACAGCCGATGTCTATTAAAACATTTCAGTCATTTTGATGCTTCAAACAGACCTGAACACGTGTCACTGTGCGTGAGTTACTGCATATGTGTCTGTGTTAGTGTGTGTTACTGCAGTTTTGTTTTGGGGGATTTTGAGATTCTTTCTCCCTTTTGAGAAAAGCTCCAGTCCATTCGTGCAATCAGACCATCTCCCCAGGGATCCGGGCCAATCAGAGGCCTCACTGACCATGTGGGAGGGAAGAATGTGTCCCTACCACAGAAGAAGAAAATAAACAGCCAAGTATTTCCTGTGGGCAGTGAACAGGAAACCGAAAGCTTCAAACACAGACCATCAGTGCAGTTGCCAGCCAATCACAGCTCTCTCTTTAGTCTGCTGAGGTCAGTGATGTCACTGAACATGCTGTAATGTATCTGATGGCATCATAGGCTGGTCAGCTGGTCGGAACCAGCCGCAGTCACATGACCACCATTTATAGAAAATCATTTGTCAACACTGAAAGCACTAAGTATTTTACTCCATTACTGTACATAAGTACAAGTTTGAGGTATTTGTTCTTGAGTACTTCCATTTTGTGCTACCTCATATTTCTACTCCACACCTCAGGGGTAACTATTGCACTTTTTACAGCACTACATGTACCATATCTGATTACTTTACTTTGTAGATTACAGTTTTTATACACTTCCTGTTCAGGGAAAAATAAATATCTCCAAATCTGTGATTTTGAATTCGAACTTTTCTAATCAACAACTATGAATTAATCAACTGAATGATTGATCTGTTATAGGCTGAATAAATTGCTTCTTTAAAATAATCCTTGGATTATCTGAAGAACACCGTGAACTGAAAACAGGCTGTTACAACAACACATGATACCTTGTAGAATATGATACATTACTGGTTTAGTATTTAAGTTTAGCACAGTCTTAAACAACTACTGCAGTAAAATGCAACATACCAGTTAATGCAGCAGTGATATTAATAAAACCATCACCAGTAAAACATGACAGGGACATTTTCCTGCTCATTGAGTACTTTTAAATTGATACTTTAGGTACATTTTGCTGATCATACTTTTGTACTCAAGTATGGTTTTAAATCCATGACTTCTACTTGTTGTGGTATTACTACTTTTAAGTAATGGATCTGAGTACTTGTTCTGAGTATCAACAGGATCACATGACTGATTACATTGATGAAGATTGGGGCCAAATGTTTGTGTTGGAGGACCAGATTTGGCCCACAAGACACAGTTTGACCACCACCACTGGAGAGGGTGGATTTACCACGATGCAGTAAAACACCGCACTGTGTTTATGTGCACAGACTCGTGTGAACTGTGCTTCTGCAAAAATCTACAGGCACTTTGTTTCCACTTGTTCTCAGAGACCTCAGTACATTTCATTTCACACTGACTCACGTTTCTTTTTAAACATCTGGTTTTCACTCTGCTACAGTCACTTTTTTATCATCTGACTTTACTGTTGGACACATTCATAAATCTGAGTGACTGCAGTCTGGGAGTGGTTGTGATCACAACAACGAAGCCATGACTCACAGTTTGCCTCTACATTTGCAGCGTCTGAGGCCCTCAGCCCTTCATACATCGCTTTTCATACATGCACAAATAACTGAAGCCATGTGTAGCAGTTATTAAGAGCATTGGTAATGTCGCTGTGGCTCAGGGGAGCGTGCGTCATCCATTAATCACAGGGTTGGTGGTTTGATTCCCAGTTCTACATGCCGCAGTGTCCTTGGACACTGAAACTCAGGTTGCTCCTGGTGGTCAGGCCAGCGCCTAGTACGGTAGCTCTGGTGCCATCGCTGCAGTGTGACTGGGTGGCAGCAACTGTAAATCACTTTGCCCTGCACAAGTCCAATTACCATTTAGCACACCACGTCTGGGAAATCGTATTCAGAGGGATCCGTGTTTACTGTGGAGTGTGCTGGACAGAGGGATAAAGAACTATTACTATTGCAATGCTCTGTACCCAGGTTTTAACCAGTCCCCCCTCTCTCGTCTCCAAATGGTGCAAAATGCTGCTGCTCGTCTTCTGACAAGTACTAGAAAATTCGAGCATATAACCCCGGTACTGGCTTCTCTCCACTAGCTTCCAGTCCGTTTTAGTTTTTAAGGCTCTTAATGGTTTGGCACCATCTTACCTCACTGAATTAGTGCATTGGCACAAACCTACAAGGTCCCTCGGATCTTCAAGCCAGTTTCTTTTGGAGGTTCCTAGGGCCAGACATAAACACTGGGGTGATCGTGCTTTTACTGTTGCATCCCTTAAATTGTGGAATAGTCTACCTTTTAATATTAGATCAGCTACTGACCTCATTACTTTTAAATCATTGCTTAAAACATATTTATTTGCCTTGACTTTTAATACACAGTAGGGCCTGATGTATTCCTTTTTATTTAATTTACTGAATGTATGTCATCTGTGTGTCTGAGTTATTGTGCTGTTTTATTTTTGCACTGAATCTATTTATTTTATTTTATTTATTTATTGTGATTTTATTCTGCCAATGTAAAGTACTTTGGTCAACAGAATATTTTTAAAGTGCTACATAAACAAAATTGATTTGATTTGAAAAAGAACAGCAGCTCCCTCATCTAATCCAGAATCAGGAGACAAAGATCTGCCCTCAGTTTAGTTATGTTTATTATGTTATTAGCACGATTGTTTATGACAGTTTTCTATGACAAACAAGGACTTCAGTATGTTTTACTGTGCAGGTTGTGAAGTTCTCCTGCTCCAAAAGTTTTTATTTTCTTCCTCTTTGGTGTCTTTCTCTGTTTTAAAGACAGTTTTAGCTGCAGACTTTTTCTGAATCCTCAGCATCAGTTAGAGACAAACCAGGACATAAATCCAGGCCCGAGTCTGACCCAGGACCTGACGACGTGTGTGCTGAGTCCGGGCAGTTACTGGATTCTGAGACAAACTGTACTGCAGGTGTGGACTGAACCACCTGCAGCTGTGGTGCTGTTCTGGGCCAGTACTCTGTTACACTAGTCGTTCAGCCGACAACAAACATATCTGATTTTATGCAGGGATTAAAAAACATGTTTGTGAGGACCCTCCTCATCATCTCATGTCACACTCACTTGATCCACAGGTGTCTCACCTGTCCGTCACTCCTCCATGCTGAGAGTTCCTCTCTCCCCTCGTCTGGCTCAGACCAGGTGATGTTGGTGACCTCTGATCTTCAGACAGAAAAACTTATTTCTTTCAATCATAAAGTCACATTTGATCAAACTAAGGTCAAAACTGAATGTGTCTTTGTAAATATCCTCAGTTCATTTATTGAATATTGATCAGTTGTTCATCAAACCTCATCTTCAGCCATTTCATGGAAACACATCAGCTCATCTGACAGTTATTGATCATTATTACCAGTGAAGGAAAGAACATGTTGTGGTGGTCCAGGAACATACGGAGACACTTTGTGTTGGGCTGTCCTTTAGTTAGTCACCTGCCAGTCTAAACTGGCTGGAACAGCATCGTGTACAGACTGTGTTTACATGGTGCTGCTCTGAAGCCTCTCAAACTAAACTGCATCGGTGGTGCAGTCACATGTCAGGTTATAACTTATGATGTAGTAGCTATTAATACACAAATATGCACAGAGTACCATCTCCACTCGGAGCAGCTGCTACAGTGAAGTCCATTAAAGACTCAGCATCAATAATCTGATTTTATCAGAGAGAATCAGGTATATCAGGATCTATTCTGAGTACTTTTACTTTAGATACATGTAACTGAGGATACTCCTGTGCCTGTATTGTAGTAACATTCCGAATATATCATACACAATAGTACTGGGGTTTTACTGCAATAAACGAAATGAGGACAAAATGTTGAATCTCAGATGTTTCAGTCAAGTTTTAGAAATAAAGAAAAGCTTGTTCAAACCTTCAGATGTGTTTTTCTTCACTCCTCTTCTTCAGTGTGCTCTTTTCCCTTCAGTCCTCTGCGTCTCCTCGGCCCATGTTCATTCCAGACAAGCGACGAATGGAAACCAACAGACCAACTCAGAGAGAGAGAGAGAGAGAGAGAGAGAGAGAGAGACTGCAGCACTCAGGGAAGAAAAAAAGAGCGAGAGACATTGACTGACAGTGGGAGAGAGAGAGAGTCAACATCTGTTTTCAATCCTGCCCCCTCATCCCCCCAACAGGAAGTGAACTGAGTCCAGAAATGGTGTAAAAGCCTTTTTGTGTGTTTCCACTGGTTTCTTCTGCTGCCGACTGCATTTCTGTTTCCCACTATAATGAAAGTGCAGAGCGACAGCAGCAGAGACGTATCAGCACACAGACTCATGAATCACCCATCGATCAATATCAGCTGCAGCTTCAGTCTGAAACTGATTCCACTTTAAACAGATTAAGGGACGCTTTGATTTTAATATTAACACAACCAGCACAAAAACCTTCTACAGCTTTAAAGAATAAACATGATTTTTACATAAATCATTTCAGCCACTATGGTACATTACTTCATTTGTTTAGTATTTTACATTTTTTTCTAATTTCAGTCATTTTTCAAAGGTATTTTAGTATAAATCTTTTGTGTTATTTTAAATATTAAAATGTTTAAGATATTTAAATAATTAGTTGTGCTGAGCCAAGTGGTGATGGTACAGTACGTGTTTCCACTATACAGCAGGAGATCTCTGCACTGAGCCAAGCCGCTGTGCTCAAGTTTGGCATCAAGTCAAAAAACACATCACTAGATACAGGAACCTCTTTGTGGACTTCAGCTTGGCATTCAACACAATCATCCCGGATATCCTCCATTCCAAACTGACCCAGCTCACTGTGCCTGCCCCTACCTGTTTGTTAGTGGATCACCAGCTTTCTGGCAGACAGGAAGCAGCAGGTGAGGCTGGGGAAAACCACATCCAGCACCCAGACTATCAGCACAGGCACCCCCCAGGAATGTGTGCTCTCCCTGCTGCTGTTCTCCATCTACACACCTCAGAGGACCCTACTAAATTCCTAAAATTTGCAGATGACACAACAGTCATCAATCTCATCTGAGATGATGACTGGTTGGCCTGCAGACAGAAGGTTGAACAGCTGGTCCTGTGGTGTGGTCACAACAACCTGGAGCTGAACATGCTCAAAACAGTGGACTTTAGGAGGAGACCCCCCGCCTCACCATACTCAGCAACACTGTATCAGCAGTGAAGTCCTACAAGCTCCTGGGCTCCACTATCTCCCAGGCCCTGAACTGGGCGTCCAACATCAGGACAATCATCAAGAAGGCACAGCAGAGGATGTACTTCCTGCGCAAGCTCAGGAAGTTCAACCTACCCCAGGAGCTGCTGATACAGTTCTACAGAGGAATCATCGAGTCTGTTCTCTGCACCTCCATCACTGTCTGGTTTGGCTCAGCAACCAAACAGGACAAGTACAGACTTCAGCGGACAGTCAGGACTGCAGAAAAGGTCATTGGTGTGAGCCTGCCCTCCATGGAGTACCTGTACACCTCACGGGTCAAAAGCAGGGCGGAGAGGATCACTGTTGACCCCTCACACCCCGGACACAATCTGTTTGAACTCCTCCCCTCTGGACGGCGTTACAGGTCACTGTGCACCAAGACAACCAGGCACAGGGACTCCAACTAATATTGATCTCCCCCCTACATTTTTGAATAATTTTGAATAAATCCACTTATTCAGTTCAGACACACCTGAGCAGGTGAGCAGGTTTTGTATGTGTGTGAGTGTTACTCAGTGTGCGTTTCAGGTGAAAGTCCACAGAGATTAACCATAGATTATTAACCATCCCTCAATCTCTGTCTCTGTTGAGTCTTTGGTGCTCAGTCGTACAGACGTCAGACAGCTGCAGGGAAAATGGAAGAAGACTGCAAGGTAAACCTTTTATTTATTATTGACTGATGGTCTACAAACAACATGCTGGTTTCTGTTCAACTGTCCATCTGTCAGTCACTGTCCCACTGAGTGAAGACAGGTGCAGTGTAGCATGTGGGCTGAAGGACAGGTGAACTGAAAGACAGGGGCACTGCAGGGTGACAGCTGGCCTGTGGGACAGGTGATGAACAAACTCAGATTATGTATTAATCCAATTTAACATCATCATCATGAAGAAATGCTCAGTTTAATCAGTAAATGTTTTCACTTCGGAGGAGGTCTTGTCTTTGAGCAGGTTTCAGGTTTGCAGAGACATTGACCTCTGGTCTGTTAAATGAAGTAGAGAATCATACCACCGACCAGTGAAAATGACATCACGGCCTGATTTGTTCCGGTGTGATCTAACGTGGCCTGTTGTCCAATCAGGACATCAATTGGGAAGTCTTGATTCTCACCCCAAATCCTTCACAATCAGCTTCAAACCGCCCCAGTGCATGTTGGAGGCCCTGACCTGATGAAGATCAGCAGAACCACATAATTATCATCAACAACTATTTTTAAAGGAAATGAACACAAAAGCGAACTTTGCTCAGAGAAACTCTTTTTACAAAGAACAAAATTTTTCATGTGAGTCCATGACAGAAAGTGATGGTTTACCTATTTCACCTAAAGCTGAACAGACATGGCATTGTTTTCTTAGTCCTACGTGTGTTTTACATTTCCTTTCTCACTTCAGTCAGTCACAACAGGGCCATTCATACTGAACGTAAAACATAACATGACTCCAGTTTATTTCCTCTTCTGCTGTATGGTGTTAAATAATTTTATTCATGTGTTACAAATCTGCTTTCTATTGAGTTTTTCCTCTTGTATTTTAGTAATGTGGCCAAACCAAAATTAGAGATGTGTCTGTCTGTTCAATCAGAATCGTGATCACCTGGCAGAAGGGAGGGGCCCCGAGATGGACAGGATTGATCTAGCAGTGGGAGAAGGCAGAACAACTGAACAGTCAGTGGTAATGCAGAGGGCAGGTTCAGACATGATTTACACCATTGAAGATGTCCCTCCATGGTACCTGTGTATTCTACTTGGACTACAGGTAAAACCGGGGCTACAGTAGACTGAGAATATCTTTGTCTTAGATGGGGGGTTACTGGCTTTAGAATGGGTTTAGGATTACACTGGTCTAGCTCTCTTTAGACTGGGGTTAGACAGAACTTGTTGGCAAAAGAAAAGACCAGTGACAGAGCAGTGAGCCATGTGTCCAGGTAAAGGAAGGTTTGATATTGATGTCACCTGTCACCTGTTTTACTCTGTCCTCAGCATTACCTCACGTGTTTCAGTGGAACTGTAGCCGTACCATTTCTCCTGGCCGAGGCCATGTGTGTCAGCCGGGACCAGAATACCATCAGTCAGCTGATCGGAACCATTTTCACCACCGTCGGAATCACGACTCTAATCCAGACCACTGTCGGAATCAGGTGAGGAAGTAAGGGTGAGGCCATGTTATCTGTTCAGTACTTGACCCATACATACTGGGGTTTGTGTGTTTTCATTGTCTCAGAAAAGGACCATGCCTAGGATGAAACCAGGCTGAAAAGGGTGATATATAGATGGATGGAGAGAGAGGAGAAGAGAGGAGAGAAGAGGGGAGGAGAGAGAAGGAGAGGAGAGGAGCTTAGTGCAGACTGGGAGTTGGTTCCATAGGAGAGGAGCTTGATAGCTAAAGGCTCTGCCTCCCATTCTACTTCTGTGGACTCTAGGAACCACAAGTAAACCTGCACTCTGAGAGCCAAGTGCTCTGTTGGGATGATAAGGCTCTATGAGGTCTTTAAGATATGATGGAGCCTTGTCATTAAGGGCTTTGTATGTTAGGAGAAGGATTTTAAAGTCTATTCTGGATTTTACAAGGAGCCAGTGGAGAGAAGCTAATATGGGAGAGATATGATCTCTCTTGCTAGTTCCTGTCAGTACTCTGGCTGCAGCATTTTGGATTAACTGGAGGACCTCCCGATAGTAAAGGATGTGGCACAGAAGATGGCATGATAATGTATTCTGCAAAAGCTCACACTGTGCAATGGAAGCACAAATATGTACTGGGGCCAGGCAGCCCAGGCCAATTCCTGGCCATTTGGCCAGAGTATGGCATGGTTTGTAGTGGCAGTGGTAAGGTAGGGGTTAGGGTATCCATTAGGTCAATGAGGGTTTTCAGAAACACAAAAAGACTAACATGTGTTTGTAGACTTCCCTTGTTTCAGGCCAGTGCATTTGCTTTCCTGATTCCGGCTCAGGCGATTCTCAGTCTAGAGCGCTGGAGGTGTCCTAGTGAAGGTGAGGCAGTCTAACTTTGATTTTGTAAATAAACACTACTATAATAACAATTATCTGTTTTCTTCCTGTGCAGAGGAGATTTATGGGAACTGGAGTCTTCCACTGAACACCTCACACATCTGGCAGCCACGCATCAGAGAGGTACATGATGCTGATTTGTACAATAGGTTTACTTTGTCCAGGTCAGCCGTGACCTGCTGATTCAGACAGGTATCTGTAACTTTTAATGTCACTGTCTTGCTAGGGCACCCTCTTAAAAGAGGTCATTAAACCTCAAGGGACTTTCCTTAATTAAACAAAGGTAAAAAAAAAAAAAAAAAAAAAAAAAAAAAAAACATTCTACTCCAAATGAGTGTTTTCGTGTCACTCCCAGACTATATGGTCTCTGTTGTATTAGCCAGTTTAAAAAGCTGACTTGTGTTGAACATATGAGAAAGAAAAGAGGAAAGGATGGATTCATAAAATTAAGCAACTAATTAATTGAAAACAAACCTGTTTACAGAACACAAATGCACAGAAATGTGACGTCTTCACCGCTTTCCACTCACTGAAGTCCCCATTTTCCTTCTAAACCAACAACTCCGCATAATTTACTTCTAAACAAGTGAGTGTGAGTGGATGGAGGGCAGTGGAAACAAATGCACAATGTGGGATGAGTATTACTTGGCACATTTCTGTAGGTTCCTTTGTTGGAATTCAGGTGAATGAGGAGAACCACTGCTTCTTCATGGTGGAGGGAGTCAGTTCAGGTGCTTAGGATCCTCCTGGGAACCCTTAAGCTTTCCAGGCAACTGGCAGGAGACCTGAGGCAGACCCAGAACATGCTGAACATGATCTATATATTCAGTCTAACCTGGGAACACCTCAGGACTTCTTCGGTTGGAGCACTGACCAGAAACCACTGAACACCAGAAAGAGATAACCGGTGGAAAATGGAAGGGTGGATTTTTAGTATTTTTGATATTATGAAACTGTATTATGTCCAACAGGAATTCTTCATAGTCCGACTGGTTTGGGGCAAAGGTTTTGTCATTTGTGAGTACAAAGCATTCTTTATTTGTTGGTTTGTTTCAGATCCAGGGTGCCATCATTGTGTCCAGTCTGGTGGAGCTTGTGATTGGTTTGTGTGGGTTGCCAGGTTTGCTGCTGGACTATATCGGTCCTCTCACCATCACGCCAACTGTCTCACTGATTGGCCTGTCTGTCTTCACCACAGCTGGAGACCGAGCCGGGTCTCACTGGGGCTTGTCAGCACTGTGAGACACCTGTCTGTCCACCTGTAGATCCTTTTACCTCTCTATGTTTAGTTTCAGTGATATAAACTACAACATGTTTGGCAGACAGACAGACAGCTGTCTCTCTCTTCCTCTCTCTTCAGGTGTATTATGCTCATCATGCTGTTTGCACAGTACTTGAGAACAACTTCAGTTCCACTTCCTGCTTACAGCAAAAATAAAGGACTAGCATTCACCAGAGTCCAGATCTTCAAAATGTTTCCTGTATATAAAACACACACACACACACACACACACACACACACACACACACACACAATCTGTTTGTCAATCCAGAGGTCGCATCCTTAGAAGGACATAGTCTACAAATGCATGGCCTTTATAGTGTTGTAGAATGTAAGGATCAAACCATAGGCTGAACCAAAATGAGGCAGTCTTGTCTACGGCCTCGCCGGGACGTTATGACACGGTTGATCTCCAAATGCAACCCTCGAAGGATGCCTACCCTGAATTGGTACACATTGACAAATTTCCTGACTGTTCTCTCCAAGTTTCTAAAATTTTCTCTTGTCTCTCAGATCATCCTTGCGATCATGCTGGTTTGGCTTGTTTGTTACATTCTAACTCTGACTGACGTGTTGCCACGCGAACCCGATCGCTATGGACACAAAGCTCGGACAGATGCCCGTGGTGACATCATGACTTCATCACCCTGGTTCAGGGTACCCTACCCCTGTAAGTCAGCCAATCACAGGCCTCAGAACTGTCACTGCCAACCCAAGATCCTGTTTAACAAATTATTTGTTTTACAGTTTTGAATGTCTTTTGTGTTCGAAAAAGGTTTTCGTTAGCAGGAACCCAAATAAAAGCTCTGAGTTTTGTTTGACAGGCGTTCCATACTTTGCCAGCAGCCTGAAACACCTCATGTTTCCTGATAATGAACATCATTAAACTTTCATACAGGAACATGAGGTAGTCAGTCAGGGTTCAAAGGTTAGAGGTCACAGTTAGACAGGTTTCCAGACCTTCTGTGAGATCACAGATGATGATGACGACTTCCTGCCTCTGTTCTGTGATAGGCCAGTGGGGGTTACCGGTGGTGACGGTTGCCGGGGTGTTTGGGATGCTGAGTGCAACCCTGGTGGGAATTGTGGAGTCGATCGGAGATTATTATGCCTGTGCTCGTTTGTCTGGTGCCCCGCCCCCTCCAGTCCATGCCATCAACAGGTAAAACAAAAACTAAATAGGGAGAAATGTCATCTTACCTGGCAGACCACCCATGCGGGTGTTTGATAGTCTTTGTTTGTGTGTCTGTTATTTTCAGAGGGATCTTCACTGAGGGTTTCTGCTGCATCATTGCTGGTCTTTTAGGCACTGGAAATGGCTCCACCTCCTCCAGTCCAAATATAGGTGTTCTAGGCATCACCAAGGTAACTGACACTGTGGCCCCTGAGACGGATCTGCTTGGTCAAAACATACTTGTCATGAGCTGTTTTCACACATGAACTCTGGACTATGTCTGTGGAATCAAGTCTGGACACGTTCAACATTCCAATGCATGTCTGAAGAGTTATGGACTTAGCAGTTTGATCTCAGTGGTTCTGGATTTAGTGGTCTTGAACTTTCTGGTTCTAGACCAGAGGTGACTGACTACGGGCTGGATGGTTACTTTCTGAGGGTCCTGATCTGCAGACATCTATAACTAGGTCACAGACCTGTATGTGACCTGGACCTGGACTCATACTTTCATTCCTGGTTTGTTGAGTAGAATGAGTTCCCTGCGGTCAGTTCATGGTGTGGGTATTTGATTAGTTGAGCCTGTTTGCAGGTAGGCAGCAGGCGGGTGGTGCAGTATGGAGCAGGTATCATGTTCCTGTTGGGAGCAGTTGGGAAGTTTACAGCTCTGTTTGCCTCTCTGCCGGATCCGATTCTTGGAGGGATGTTCTGCACACTGTTTGGTGAGTCAAAACCACTGGAAAGAGGTGTTAATAACAGGTGTGTTAGTGGTTTAATAACTATCTAGGTGTGTGTTGGTGTTTCTCAGGTATGATCACAGCTGTCGGCCTGTCTAACCTGCAGTTGGTGGATTTGAACTCATCCAGAAACCTTTTTGTTCTTGGGTTCTCTATGTTCTTTGGACTGATGATGCCAGCGTACCTGGACACGCACCCCAACTCCATCCACACAGGTGAGTCTGTGTTTACTTGTGTATAGATAAATTCTTTACAGGTGTGATAGATGTAGATCCCTTCTGTGTAGATCTGATAGATGGAGAAGCTACAGATTAGTTTTGTGTGTTCAGGTCTTGCAGAGTTGGATCAGATTCTGACGGTTCTTCTGTCCACTGAGATGTTTGTTGGAGGTTTTCTGGCTTTTTGTCTTGACAACACAATACCAGGTAACACATAATTTGTATGTTAGTTAAACATTTTAGGTGCTGCAATTTGAAAGATGTTGGTAGGTTTGTATTTGAACTTCAGAGGAATCAGCACAACAGTTTCCCTCACTTTCTAGTGTTTGCTAAACTAAACCAATCACCTCTTGCTGTTTTCCTCCACTGACACACCCTCCATGGGTTCCAAGGAATATAGAGGGTCTTCTGAGAACGCCCCCCACCGGCTTGGGCAGAAGTTTTCTTCTTTCCGTCCATATGGATAATTGTGTATTCTTAATACGGCACCAGACAACCTTGGAATTGCTTCTGTGTACTGTATAGGCCACCACATGTCCCCCATATCTCCATTCCTTGACCATTACTGGGTAGTATTTGGTTCCTGGATACGTATTTCCTGACATCCAGGTCCATCCAACCTTGTGAGTTGACCTCCTTACATCTTTGGCCAAGGACTCCAGGATCATCACCTGCTTAATCTTAATAGACGCAGATATTTTTTTCTCCTTTGAGTCTCACAACCCCCAGGACTTTGAGCATCTCTTCATATGGAATACAGTTGGAGCATGTGAGTCCCTTATCGGTAGCCCACAAAGGATGGCCTCTCTTCAAATAGGTGGAGCAACAGACACAACAAGGAGTTATGTGGAAAACAGAAGATTCAACGTTTACTTAGTTATCAGCGAAGCAGTAGTTGCATTTATCAAGCATTGCCCAAATGAGGTTCACGGCTCTATTGCTGGCGAGTGACATGGACAGGGAAAAGGCTTGTCAGAGGGTCCGGGGAGACCTTTGCATGTCTGATCCAGTGGGAAAGGATAGCAGAACATAAGCCAAAACACTACTGGTAGGTTGGAGGTATGTCCAGAGAGGTACAATGCACTGCAGACCCCCAGATAACCCCCCAGTCCACCAATCTAATAAACCAATTAACCCATGCTGGTACAAGATCGGATTTGAGCTTCATCGCCAACACTGCCATGTAGACAAGGAGGGTGACAGCCATCAGCCCCTCCATGCCAGTGTTGATCCAGTATGTCAGGGGATCCCACAGGGAAGCAGCATCAAGGTCCAGCCATGTCATTACAGTTACCCTCCGCACTATTCCAGCCCAGGAGCAATCTGTCTTTATACGGCCCAGCATATGAATGGTGAATCAAGATGTGATGTGCCTCAGGTGTCTTTGAAAGGCAACACTAACTACACAATGTTCCAGGCCGTTCAAAGAGTTAATACAGTACCTTCAGCTGCCAATTCTTCTGTATCTTCCTTGCACAACAATAGATCAACCATGACTTGCAAGGCAAAATATTCAGTCACACTTACGGTCCATCCAGCACCAAAGCCTCCACTGGTGGTATTGTTGGTCACTGCCATAGTAGCTGCAGGAACAGTAGCTGTCATTGTAAACATCATGTAGTCTGGCCAGAAACGAAGAAGTTTGTCCCTGCTTCTTTTTTCTCACACAAAGGGACTGCCCTTATTTCTAGACTGAACACTATGGGCTTCCTCTTGGTGGGGTGACAGCAGTTTTCAGACATTTTGCCATTATCAAGGTAATGGTTACCAGTCCTGTTATCAGACATCCCAGGCCCAACAAGGCATATTTGCCTACTACTTTAAGTCTCTTGGTCACAGGTTCCATCAATGTTCCAAATCCCACTTCCACAGATCCAATGACCACTCGAGAGACAAACTAACCTTTCCACACATACTATACTGATGTGCACACATTTGTTCTGTTTTTCAAGTGTCTTTTTCTTCTCTTCAGGTTCTAGACAGGAGCGAGGTTTAGTAGAGTGGAGATCTTCCTCCTCCTGCTCCTCCTCCTCCTATGATCTTCCTCTGGGGATGGGTGTGGTCAGGAAGACCCGCTGGCTCCGATGGCTTCCCATCAGCCCCTCCTTCAGAGGTTTTAGGGCTTCCGTTGACCTGCCAATACCTGAGGAGGAGGAGCGAGGAAAAGAAGAACAAGCTTATGACAGCCACCTGCCCAGCACAAAGGTGTGACTGTGATGTCATCATTTACACCTGTGAGGTGACTGAACAACAGGCAGTGATGTCTCCACATCACTGTCTTCATATAATAATTTATCAGCTGGATATTTAATTATTGCTGTTTTTTATTCACGAACATTTAATTAATTACACCTGCAGTCGTATCAAATGTGAACATTTCACCTACGATTTGTTTGTTAGCTGCGTTCATGTCCCTAGAGTGAAATTACAATAAGATGGGTTTTAATTAGTGTCTGGTGTTCACTGAGATGTCATGAAGTCTCACTCAGGCTGTGAGGAGTTACTTCTGTTAGAGACTCACAGCTGATCCACATGAAACCTTCTGCTGCTTCAAAATCAGAATCAGAATCAAAATTCAGTCAGCAGACTGAAAAAGCACTAACTCTGCTACTAAATAGCAGGTTCTTTGATCAAAAAAAGACAAAGCCAAAGCCACAAGGAGCCTGTGGACATAAAACCTGAAGAGCAGAAGTCAACTACACCCCCCAAGCTACATTTCACAAACAGCCAATCACAGAGATTAAAATTCTCCCATATGAGCCACTAACAGCAGGTGGAAGCTGCAGAGCTCAAGATGACGAGCTGAGAAAACACAATCTGCAGAATAAACCAGGGTGATGTCAAATACCGGAGGATTTCATGATGACTGCTATGTCTTCTCCAATAGCAGCTAAGGCTCATGGGTAATGCAATACTTCCTGATATATCAGAATCAAAGTATAAATATCACAGTGGTGTCAAAACATACATCTGATGGTCACTGTGGTAGCTGTGTACTGTTTAGTATCTACACACGGGACAACATGAGGTCTAAAAATATTTACACCATACACTGTTTTTATGACCTCAAGAAACTGTTCTCAAAGATCTGACTACACAAGATTTTAGTTAAAAAATATATTTTATATGTGAGATAAGGCGCTAAAAATGTCACGAAACCTTTTAGTTTGAAAAACTGCAAGAATTGAGAAAAAGAGCAACACATTTATTATACTGCTCCATATTTAAACAGTAACTACGTCTTCAATAACTTCTTGCACTATAGATATACCCAATATTAGGGTTTGTCTAAAATTCACATTATGTGCAAAAACGTGATGTTTCACCTCCCACTTGGCTTTTCTTTGCTTTTCTGAATGGTAAAATTTCCATCACTAAAAATAAAGTGGCTCCTTTTGGCACATTTTTCTTTTTAAATAATATAATTTAATATAGATTCCACTATAACACTATTTCCATATTCGTCTCCTACACACTCCTCACACATCAACAAAACAAATCCTTCATGAAAAGACTTTCAGATTCATATCTCAGTAACGCTTCCGTTTACTTTGACATTATGAGTCTGGCTTTTCGCTTTGGCCTTGTGTTTTTCTGTTCAGATTATATGATGTATTAGCATTATGTCACATAATAAAAATAATAATGTGCTTTCAAATTGTTGCAGTTTCATTTTAAATCAAATACATTTTGCATTGATAAAGTATTTTGAAAAATGTTTTAATCAAAATATACAGTATGGACTGTTCTTAAACAACGCTGTTGTGGGTCTTGAGGAAAGTGTCAAACAGTAAAAGTAAAACCTAGTTACAGTTTGTATAAGATGTCATCTGGTGATTTAACTGAACTTATTAAATTTTTACCTTAAGATGTCAGCTGCAGTTATTCTGCCTGCCAACCCGGTCATCACAGCAGCGCACTCATGTTACTCCGAGCCTGTGAAACCACCGACAGGAATTCAGTCGGTAATCAGACATCTTATGCATTTAAAATAGATGCTGACCATCACGAAGGCTACAGACTCCCTCGGTTTGCAAGAAATCCAGAGACTGCACAACGAGACGGCTCTGACCCTGTGAAGCGAACCTGCTCCAGGTTAACGTGCAGCACAAGTCACCTTGTTGATCGGTCCCAATTAAAAGTGAGCCAGCTTCGTAGTACCAATAACCCTGAGCTGAGCCCACTTTGCTGGATTAGACACCGATCTCGCCTCATGGCACAGAGGACAAAGTCTCTGTCCAAGACATTGATGCCATGAATGTGTTTAGTATTTAATAACCAACCAACAAAGTCTGTGGCTAAAATCAACAAGGGAGACTGTGGACATCCCAAGAGGGAAACAGGCCGATGGACCAGTTTCCAGAGAACCAACTGTTAATGTTGGAACACAGGAGTCCGACCAAAACCGGTGGACGAGACCAGCATCCCATCTACATTACCTGTAGTCCTGCGTATCAAGGATCCAGAAGACGACAACGGGCCACCAGTCATTCATCACCAGCTTCTCTTGTTGGGTTTACAGCAGGAGACCGCGTTGACTTAACGGGACAGCCTGAAAGCGGCCCACGGATGCCGCTCCAAAGGACTGTGCAACGCGGCGCAGTGACGCGCTCAGATCCGGACGTCTGTGCGTCAACGCGACACAGACTCGCTGCGAAAATCAGCAGACACCTTTGGTCCCGACACACGCAACAAAACAGCAGTAAAGCACAGGAGAAACGAGTTCTCACCCAGACTGTACAATGTTTCATGGGGTAATAACTAATCAGTGATCAGGGTTCTCTGAATCCTGTTTTGTGTTCACACTGAAACGCTGCAGGGCAGCAGCATCACCGACAGGACTGATTTAACTGGTAAATGTGCTTTTATCATTAAACCCCGCAGGTGTCCGAACACAGACTGGTCCCCAACAGTGGGTTCGGGTGGAAACATTGAAATGATCGATGCAGTTATTGATCAGACGTCACACAGACTCTGACTTTAACATTTTTATTGACAGGAAACCTTGGTTCAGTTTACAGACGGCGACCACGGCGTCCACCCTTCCTCCTGGTCGAGTCCGATGGGATCGGAGTGACGTCCTCTGCACAAACAAGAAGAGGAAGAAGTAGGAGGTCAGACACCGACTGATCCAGCACAACTCAGAGCTCAGACACAGTTTCATCATTTAAAGTGTCAGTCCACCAAAGTCAGCAGTGTCTCATACCTCAGACACAGTTTCATCAGTTTCAAGTGTCAGTCCACCAAAGTCAGCAGTGAACATTTAAATAAACCCATGTCAAACTGTTCATGCTCTGCAGTACTTGTTTATGATTTTTACGCATTGTACTGTTACTGAAACATGTTTCTGCTCACTGTTTTACACAAAACGCTCTGCAGTACTTGTTTGTGATTTTTACACGTTGTACTGTTACTGAAATATGTTTCTGCTCACTGTTTTACACAAAACTGCGGCTTTTTTTGTTTACTGACTGTTTATACTGCATATTTTGCACTGTTTGTTGCTTGTTAATACTGCTGATTATTTTTATTATATTTCCCAACAGCCTTATGCTGGTTTACTGTTTACTTGCCCCTTGCATGGGGATATGTACATACACATTGAGAGCCGATGTACCAGAGTCAAATTCCTTGTGCGTCCAACACACCTGGCCAATAAAGCAGATTCTGATTCTTTTAAAACAAAAGCCACTGTTCAGTGTGGAACACCTTGTCTGTGAAGTCAATTGACCAATTTCTCTCAGCGACACTTCAGCTGGTTTCATTCTGGCCTTTTTATGAATAAGAATGTAAAATCGAGTTCAAACCAGATTGAATGGCTGTTTACATGTGAGTTACTGAAGATGTGATGCAGTGTGGCTGCAGCTGAGCACTAATCAGCATCACATGTGGTCCAGCTGAACAGATGTTACAGTGGGCCCAGATGAGTTCAGACTGGAGAAACCTCAGGATAACCAGACTGAGGCTCCTGTTTTGATGAGGCTAGGTCAAATGAAGGTGGAATCAGTTTAACACAAAACTGGAGTTGTGGACTTTGTGATGTTCTATATTAAAGACAAACCTCAGGCTGAGCCTTGCTGCTCGGCCCGTAACACGCTGTCCCACTATCATGGCTTCACAACTCTCAGAAAGCAGATGCGGCTCCACAGAGAAGTGGCTGGTGAAGGGTTGCTGACCTGACCTTTCTATCGGTCACTATGTCAGCTATAGATCCTCACACACGACACATCAGTAATAAAGGAAGTACTGATCACTTACCGATGCGTCCGATCTTCATGCCGGAGCGAGCCAGAGCCCTGAGAGCAGACTGAGCTCCAGGACCAGGAGTCTTTGTCCTGCAACGACAGAACCGCCTCATTAAACATCTGGCTGTTACAAACAGAGCAGCTGCATCCCAGCCACGAAGGTGAGCCGGTCATCAACACACAACTGTACCACAGTGTCGCGGTAAATCCGGGAGGTTTGGATCAGACTTCAGGTTTCAGTAAAGATGTCGGCGCCGAGCTTCATGTCATAGTGGCATGTTATTCTGGAAACACGTCACTTCTGGTCCACTACCCAGTTTGACTGTGTCAGGGTAAAACTTGAAATGAACTCAGTGGAGAACCTCCATCAGAAATCTGTTGTTTTAACACAGAGGAGCTCGACTGCAAACTGTTCTCTGCTTCGGTTCAGAGGAAAAGACCAAACGCCGCTCAATCAGGAAATAGGTTAAACTCTCATCACGTTTCATGACTCAGTCAGCATCAACTCTCCCATCAGCATTTTCATCTGAAATGTGACAGAGGTTTTGCAACAAACCTGCTAAACCAGGTTGGTCCAAATTCTTCTGTCAAAAAACACTGAGCTCTGGTTGTAAAGGACAAGGCAAAACTGATGTTGTATAACCTGAGGACTGTCACCAGTTACACAGAAAAACCTAAACTGAGCTCGGATCAGTTCTGAGAAAACTCTGGCACTGAAACCGATCAAACACAGAAGCCCAGCACCTAAGAATTAAGGTAATCACTCAGGTGTGCACAGAGATGGACAGGCAGCCAGACAGGTGACTGTTACCTGTTTCCTCCAGTAGCCCGTAGCTTGATGTGCAGCGCTGTGATTCCCAGCTCTTTGCAGCGCTGGGCGACATCCTGAGCGGCCAACATGGCGGCGTACGGAGAAGACTCGTCTCTGTCGGCCTTCACCTTCATCCCACCAGTAACACGGCAGATGGTCTCCCTGGAAACAGATGCACAACCGTTAGACCAATCAGAGAGCAGAGACACAAACGTGCGCATCCACATTAACTTGTCTGTTATTGTGGATATTTGTCCAAATAAATCACCCACAAAATAATCAGACAAATCTGTGTCCACTGTTGTTGCATCACATGAAGAAACCATCACACCCAATGCAAAACAGCTTCAATAATTTATTTGAACACATGGTGTCACATTACATGGTGTTTAATTGAAACCCTGTTCCTGAGCCGCTCTGGCCAATGTACCAATAAACGGAGCCATCAAACATGTGCCCAACAGTAGAAATGTACTGCCATTTACACAACGCTGTCAGCTGCACAGATCAATAATCCCCAATAAGATCATTAACAAGGACCCACATGAGCTTCATGAAGAAATATAACATTGACTAATTAAAAGCGGACTTATGATTTTTCCATTATCAGATTTTCTGTCAGACACCACAGCCTGTGTCAAACAATCAAGATTTTAAAAACTAGGGCAGCCCTCTGATAGTTGCCTAGTTACTGAAATTCATGCCAATTGATTTTCTGACAGCCTGGGCTAAATATATTTAAAAAAAGAAGAAAAAAGGACCGAGGAGTTTCACTGAACAGGAAAATCTGGGTCAACTGAAAATTCTTAGTGCAATACAGCACCATTAAAACCTGCAAAAACCTTTAGAGGAAAACAAAACCTGCAGTGTCACTGAATCTCTAACATCGGCTCATATCAGCTGAAACAACACCAGGTATTTTAACCCATCACAGCACATGTCATAACATGGCACAGCACACTTAGTGCCAGACACCTTAAATCAAGACCCCCACACTCAAAAACCCTGCCCTGGTTTGTCAGAGCAGCTGCAACTTACTTCCCCGAGAGGTCGGTCACATGGACAAAGGTGTCATTGAAGGAGGCGAAGATGTGACAGACTCCAAACACATTTTCTCCCTCAGCCACCTGAGGCCCCAGACTGATGACCTGCTCCTCCTTCTTTTCCTTCCCTTTACGAGGAGCCATTGTCTGATGAGGAAGAGTGAGACACAGTTAGGGCAACATGTTCAAGTGAAGAAGCTACAACACACACAGCCTCTGTTTTACAGCTGTTCTCCAGCTGCAGGTTTTCAACATTATGTCATAAACAATTGTTTAAAAAATTAGACCTCTGTAAATAAAACAGGCGGTTTGTTAAACCTGTACATGTAAAAACCTCCAGACCTCTAGGACTTCATATCAGTAAGCCAAAGCATCAGAATAAAAGCTGGCTGAAACGTGTCAGCACAGCAAAAATGTCACATAAGCATTAATGTGTCTTCACTTCATCGCACACACAACTGAGCAGGACACAACAGATCGCAACGTTTCCTACTAACGCTGGATAAGGTTCACTCTGCAGTCTCTGCTAACGTTTGCTTCACCTGCACCGCCACCTGATGAGTATCACTCCAGACCAGATCTCCTCCGGTGGAAAAGTGTCAGAAATGCTGAATCTCCTAAAGCTCAAATGCGGACCAAGTTGTCCGATAATGGAAGTACCAGCCTAGACTGGTAGTGGTTACAGCTCCAGATGACCAACAGCCAGACTGGACAGAGATGTTAACGGGCTTAATGCAACTACGTGATTATACCCAGGAGACGAACGTCAACACATTCGGACAGACTCGGCACCGACATAAAACATCTAGCTAAAAACGCTATTGCTGAACTACGCAGAAGACGAAAACCATCCAGTTAAGGCGGATGCTAAAGTAAGCAGCCTGTTAGCATCTAGTAACGAACAGTAGTCTCACCTGATCAACTTTACTTATTTACTTCAGGCAGTAGAAAAGCCTCTAACACACCTGCCTGAACTGTTCAAAATGTAAAATAATAAGAAAACTCTATTTTCCCGCTACCGAAATGTCTAGTAAAATGGCGACATGCTGCCGAAGACACAGAAAGAAACCCGGAGGGAAAATTGTCTAAAAGTCAACGCTTAATTAAACACAGAGAAACAATTTCACCGCGAATAAACACAAATTCCATTAAAGAATCAGCAGCGACACGTTAAATGATTAGATGATCATTTAAAATACTGATTAAAAAAGATAAAAAACCTCAACACCACTCACCTCTATGTGTCTCTATACGAAGCAGAAACAAGAAAGGAAAGAAGTATCGCTTCCGGGGTCAAAGTTGACGAGTTCCTGCTACTGCCGCTTCGTGGTTGTTACACAGAAACACCGGCTTGATTTTTATTTATTTAAAGACGTTATAATGATTATTTTTATGATCTTTTTTCCTGGCGATTTTTGTTAAATAATTAAATAAATTATTCTTAGATCTAATCAGCTTAATCAACAAATGTCAACTGGATTCATTTTATTTGCCTCCAATAGTCAACCTGGCTTGTAACAGGTTTAAATGTAACCTGTACACCTTTAGCATCTCTTTGTAGTCATTTTGCACGTTTTTACTTGTTTTGTGTCAAATTCCTTGTATATTTAACACACCTGGCCAGCAAAGATGATACTGATTTTAGTTGCTTTGTATCTTGTTAGATATTAGTAAATCAGTTAGATAATTGTTAGACATCAATGTGTTGAATCAGATGTGTTAGTAACACAGTTTAGTAAGATTTAAAGTCTGCTCTACTCTGTTTTGTTTCAAGGTTAGCAGACAGAATGTTGATTCTGAAAAGTGAACCATAGGTACTTATGACACCAATTCTTTTCCTGTATTAATCTTGTATTAGAATATTATGTCTGAACAAATGAATGAATGCCTTAGCGACACACCATGTGACAACATACACATACATTGAAATTCTTCATTTTGTTATGACTAGGTAAAAATGCAGCTGCTCAAAGCATGTGGAGCACTACATAAGGGATGGAGTCTTCGGATTGACTTCCTCTGGGGATTTTTTTGGGTAATCTTTCTGGGTAAGGGGTTAGCGTAAACCTTATAGATGTATTAGGATCTGTATGGCAGGGGAAACTCCACTTTCCAGCAGCCTCTGTGTGTCTGGAAAAGGGAGCAACCGGGGTCGTGTTTGTAATTTTGCATGTGGTTAAAATAAACCAGCACTAGATGAAGAAAGACGGACTCCTTCGTTATTCAGAGCTGTCCAATTAAAGAACTTGAATACTACAATCTTTTTGCCATTTTTTGTAGGCCTAGTGTTTTTTGTGTTTGGGGTCTTATCTGTTTCTTTTTAGTCATGTCTCTTTCAGTGGATTTGTGGTTTGTGTTGCATCTGTCTTTGTTTTTTTTATCATTTTGTGGCTTTTTGTATTTGTTTGATTGACTTTTCAAAAGAAACTTTTAAGAGTCCCTTCATGTTTCACTGGTCTAGGGGATCCCTGAGCCCTTGGGCCCCAGAGGCCCACGCTGTGCCTGGTAGGCCTGTTCAGTGGTCCAACTGTGCTCATATGTAGCAGTAACAGCCCAAGAAGCCAGATGTAATTATTAAATCTGTAATGTTGAAAAGTGCATCATTAAATGTAGATGTTACAGTTCAAGAAATGAACTAATAAACAAATAAATTGTTAAATAAAGTTGTCCATAAATCCAGTATATGTCTCTTTCTGGTCATTTGCTGGTGTCTGTGCTCCAGAGCCTGTCCAGTGATGTGTCCATGTATAATACAACCAAGAACTGACTCAGCAGGTAATCTATTACTATGGTGTTGTTAAAGAAGAGACTGTCTGTAGATAAATAAGACAGTTTCTTAAATCTCTCATTGTAAGACATTTAACAATAATCAACATGGCCAAACACTGATGAAATAATAGTTTACTGTGTAAAAACAGACCAATCAGACAGCAGAGTTTGACCACCTCAGTTTATTTACAGAAACACTTTGAACACGATGCAGAAGAAAATACTCCAAAAAACTATAAAAGAAAAAGGTTAAAAATGCACTCTCCCTCTCACACAGTTACACATCGAGCATGCAGCATTAGAGTCCAGTTAATACAGTACAGTACAATATCCATCATAGTAGAAAAAGCTGAGTTGATGTGAAGGAGCTGATTATTGATTATTCACTTTGCAGAGCATGAATATTGTGAACGGGAAACAGCAAGGACCAAGTCGGAGCTAAACTCTGGTCTTTTGGTTTTACTTTTACAAACAGAAATAGACCAAAACTATTTAAAATATCTAGAAATCAAAAATAAATGTTTATTGCTGGATATTTTATGTATTAATCATTTCTTTGTCATTTCTGGTTCTGGAAAAACCCAAAGACTTCAGACTCTGGTTGGATTCATACAAAATCTCAAACTGATGCAATCCTTTAAATTAATTTTAGGTTAAAAGGTTAACACTAATAGAAAGGATACAGTAATCATAAAACTTGACTGAGACCCAGTGAAAAACTCACAAAATACTCAGCAGTAACTCACATTAGAAGCACATAATCTAGTTAAAACCAAATCCCACTTTAACTAATTCACCATATTTTAAACATGATGAACACAATAACTCATCAATATTATAATAATGTTATTAGTGAATTTATTATCATTAGTTAATACACATTAACATTAAATGTACGACTCTGCATAATGACTACTTTTACTTTTAGTAATTTAAGTATGTTTTGAATGTAATACTTTTATACTGTTACTTAAGTAACATTTTGAATGCCGAACTTTTACTTGTATCATTTTTATACGTTTGTATTGTTGTTTTTAACTTAAGTAAAGGATCTGAGGACTTTTTCCACCACTGACTGTAGGGAGATCAAATGTAGGCTAGACTAAATACAAGTAAATCCTAATCAAACAAATGAATACAACTGTTTTTCAAACCTCAGAAAATTGTACAGAGTTTGGTTTGTAACTGAACACATGTCTGCTCCACAAAACAAGTAAAAGGTGTATTATGAGTTCAGTTCTTTTTCCTGGGAATGGTTTGTTAGCACTGTTAGCATTGCTAACAGTAACCAGTGAACCCTAAATGCAAATGATCATGTTGGCATGCTGCCAGAAGAACAGCTAAGAATCGCTAACATTGCTAATCGCTGAATCTCACACGTCCTCCTCCGGTCCTGCTGTTTCCTGTCACATGGATAAGAAAAACTTCCTGTGGTGAATGTGCTCTCAGCACAGCAGGTGAGGCTTCGAAACAGAGACCTCCAACCCCAACTTCACCTGTCTGAGTCTTCAGCATATAAACACTCCCTGAAATCTTCTGCCAAAGAATCAGAAACCAACATTTTTATCGTCTCCTCTGGGTCACACAACGTGAAGAGACCAATAATCTGAGGGATGGAAGTCGCTGTTTTAGGGTCATTAGGATAAAAATGTTGCAGCCACACCCACTGAATATCTGGTAAAAACAGGAAAAACATCATAGGAATAACATGTGAAGTCTACTTTAAGATGAATTCTTCAATTTTAAGCATAAACACCAACATAGCTCTAAAAAATGACATCTCAGTATTGGCAGGGACTTTCAGAGTCCCTGGTACTCAAAGATTTCCACCACTAATAAAGAATACTTTCAAGTGTCTTAAAAGGTCAAAGTGGAGGTGTTGCTTTAAAAAACACAGGCTAGTCTACTGTAGAAAACAGCCATTCACTCTGCCAGTGCCATTGCCATTTGGAGTCCCGACTGGGCTCACATTCTGGTTTGGATGCATTTATTGAAGGGGAGGCTGAAGCTGACTGTCACTCAGATCTTGGGAATCATTTGCACACTTTAATGAAAATAGGAAAATGGGGTTAAAACATAATGAGATACTTTGATGCTGTGCAATAGGAATCTACAGTATAGTGTTCAAAATACAAGCCAGCTCTGTTGCCAGCTGGGGAACATCAAGATTTCTCATGAGCTGTCGCCAAATTTGGTTTGTTTTACCAAAAAAATTTCTGCCTGAAAATCATAATTTATTAATACATTTACCTTTGGGTTGGATTCTGACAGCCTCTGGTGAAAACACTCAGACTGAACTGTGATACTGACAAAACTGTTGTTGATCCTGTGTATATCTTTGTCCACTTTTTAAAAAGCAGTGTTCAAAACATCAGAGTAGCCTTTCAGTTAGACTATGTCCACACTAGGCCAGCTAAATTTGTAAATACACCCTTTTCCCTCTGTTTTGGCCTGCCATCCACACTAACATGATGTTTATACGTATACCTGAGGAGCCCCAGTCCTGTTGCAGCGTAGCTAACAACACAGCACAGTTCTGATTTTGAGCTTTAGAGTCAGTGCAGAATAATTTATCTGTTGTTTTTGTTGTTGTTGTTTTCATAAATCTGGGCACAAAAAATACCTGGATAGTTAACAGGCTGAGGTAGAATCATATTTTGCTAATAAAATGTTTTCCAACATTGACATTTCTACTTGTGTCCAGTCAGGCGGGCAGTGGGCATGGCTTAAAGGCTGTAAACAGGTGAGCATCTGAACATGGCTCTGCCCCCAACTCAGCCCCACCCCATCTACCTGGCTTCACTGTGGACATCATCAGAAAAACCCTGCCCTTCTCTATCTGACTTTTACATCAGAGGTCAGTTGCTAAAAGCCCATAGTTGACCTTTAACCAGACATTCAGCCTCCCCAGGTCTTTCCTGAGCCGGGATGCCAAATGGCACAGGGATCGTAAGTAAAATAAAGAGCAGCAGCGCTGTGGCGAACACATTCAGCAGTTGCTAAGGGAACTCGTGTCACACTCTATAATACATATCATACTAACAAAATAAAGCTAATAATACACAATGTGTTGTCTACAGGGCGACTCACACAACGCTAGCACTGGAAGTCTGATTCAAACATTAAAAAGCTTTTAAATATACAAATGCAATATATTGAGAATAATAATGTCATCATCATAGTAAGAATCTGATTGTACAAAGTTCGACATTCTCCCAACGGTAAAAAGCTGTTTCAAGCCTCTGAGACAAACACAATGGGTCAAAGGTTGCAGAATATCAAAGTTGGCATCGCAGGCGTTTTGTTAGCTCATGGCTAGCAGACACTACTGCTCCCAGGGAGGAATGCTAACAAAGCTAACATGTTTGAGTCAAGTCACCAGAGAGCCAGAAGCTAACCTGACAGCCGTGAACAACAAAACAACGCGGAGACCGAAGCCGAAACACAAACACAAAGTCAAGTCCGGCATGCAGTAAATCACATAATCTGTACAGAAAGTCAACAGCATCACTGAAGAGGAAGAAATACAAGCTCTCCCCCACAGAACTCCACTGAAAAATCTAATGTTTTTAGAATGATGCCATTGCCACAAAACCTCATATCTCCTTAAATAAAATTCACATACAAAACTGTAGAACACAGCGACTCTGAGCGGGCAGGTTAATATTTCACTTCACAATCCAAGATGCATTTTTGAATTTGAATCAGAAAAAAACAGTTATGAGATCATTAAGGCGCCAGAAAAAAAACAAGAGATATGAGGTTTCATTTAGTGACCACACCACCGACAGACCAACACAACAGGAACGCTAGAGTATTTTTGTACAGAGTCCCAGAAAAGACAAAAAAATCCGTTTTTTTGTCATAAAAATATTACATTACTTTGCTGGCTTTTTTGGCAAGTATAATATTCCACTAATCTCATATTTTACACTCAAGACACTTGATTTTTGACCAAATTTGTGAATTTGAGGCTGTTAGTAATTTCAGGGGATTTTACATCCAACATAAAACAGTATATATTGTGAACTGAACTGTCACTATCAGGTAAATTAATTATGGATGAAATATATTAATTTGTACATAATATTAATATCCGACTTTGTTCAGCCCAGTACAAATACATAAAGAATTTTCTCTTGGTACTGTGTTGGGAAATACAATGTACAAAAAATATAATTCAAGAGTTGAGAGTAAACTAAACAATAAATTATGTAAAATAAACAAATACATATACATGTATTTTTTTTTACCCGTTAAAGTTCCATATTAACTGTGTTTTTAATGAAAGAGGGAAACTGGTCCGCCAGAATAGAGCAACAGAATCTGATCACTCAACAAATTTAGAGATTAAATGTACAGAAAGGCTGAAAATCCATTTTATAAAAACCAATGCAGTGCTTGTTGTAGTTATTGTTAGATACCTGCGGTAATAAAACAGTTATGTTTTTGGAGTATCTCAATGTGAAGGATGATTGGCAGAAAATTGGTTTTGTATTGTAATTATCTGATCAAAAACAGCACTTCCTATTTTATCTCTCCAAAAACAATATCAAGATCTGTTTAAAACATCAAAGACCTTTAATAGGTTTATTTAATTTTAGGTTAAATTCCCATTATTATGAGATCATACAGAAAATGTATTAAAATGTTTGACTTGTCAGTTATTTTTGTCACTTCTCGGACTCTGTACCGATGAGTTTATTGTAGATTATGGACTTTGGTCTCAGCGACAGGTGACATGTCTGTAATTCTGATTGGCAGTTTTAGTGTAACTGCAATCCAGTTTTTGCTTTGCAACCTTTAGTAAGTTCTAAAACCATACCAGTTTGTTCAGTCTAGTGCCATTCTGCATCCCCAAAACATAACAATGGTCATGTTTGTGGAGGTCCAATCCAGAAACAATTCATTAGAAGGCACATCCTCTGATGTAGTCGTGGTGCACAGTAGCAGACGTATCAGTTAAATACGTTTTCAATAAAATTATCATGTTAGAACAATTTTGAGGGTTTTAAGGTAATATATGATTGTTAGAGTTAACTGGTTTTAGATCTAAGCATTTGAATAAAATCAGGGAGGTGCGATTTGTTCTTTCTCATGTTTCCTTCATTGATTCCCTTTGTCCTCATCTTTTTTTCTTGTCTTTACTTCTGTCTTTCCTCTGTCTCTGTGTCTTCCTCCCTCCCCCTTTTGCTTGTTTTCACTTCCTTCCTTCCTTCCTTCCTTCCCTTATGGGAAACCAGCGGCTTTTAAACCTAAAGCATTGTGTAAACTTGGCCCGACTGATAAAGTTTCTTCTGCTAATGAAGCCTGGGGTGGAGCTTGTTAAGGTACCTCATTAGGGTCCTCCACATTAGGACACCTGGTGGGGTGTTGTCGGGGATCAAGGGTGGAGATGACTGGCTGATCTGAGCGGAGGTGTGGCTGTTTATGGAAGATCGCAGGTCAGAGAGCGGTGGAAGTTTCTGGAGCTCTCCGAGCCGATGGAAGCAGAGAGATGAGCGTCGTCGTACGTCCAAACCTCATCATTAAAATGTTTCAGCGTTTCCTTCTGTTCAATATGAAAAATTTGTTTCACCCTGCTGTATTTCTACTTACAGAGGCTTGGGGCTGCTTTGGTTACCAATTATTTTTAGGCCCAATTATCTCAAGATCACAACTTATCTTGAAATTAAGCCCTGTTTACAGTCCTGGATGTGATCACGAGATAACGTGTCTAAATAATTATTAACCTCAGTGACTCCTGGCCTCCGTTTATAATTATATTGTGTTTTTAATTTGTGTAGCTATCTTTTCGATCAGGTGGAAACCTTGTATCTCCCAGAAGAAAAAGCAGGGGTGTTCCAGCGGGTTTTTTGGTTTGCTGCCTTAGAAATGTTGTTGAATATTTCAGAAGTTAACGAGTGATTGAGGGATAAAAAGTGTCTGGTGTGGATTCAGTCAGTGACATCTCCTCACAGTTGAGGTTATGTTCTGTGTATTTATCTTCCACTTAAAAAGGGAGGCCCTCCTAAAAACCTCTCAATCCATTAACACACCTTATCATATTAAAATCAATTAATTATTCAATAATTAATCCCAAATTTGGGAACAAGGTCCCAAGTCACAATGCCAAAGATAAGTTTGCAAATTTAAGGTACAAATTCAGAGGTGCCTTTTATAGTTAATGGCCAGTTTCAAAGGTGTAATTACAGAGTTTTAATGTGATAACACTAAAACACATGACTGGACTGTGATAGATGAATTCCTTATTCAGTCATAAATTATAATCAATTAATAAACCATTTGATCTAAAAATAAAGTACCTATAATCAATCCATCCATTATCTATAGTACTTATTCCGGAATAGGGTCGTGGGGGGGCTGGAGCCAATCCCAGCTGACACTGGGTGAGAGGCGGGGTTGCACCGGACAGGTCGCCAGTCTGTCACAGGGCTGACATGTAGACAACCACACACTCACTCCTACAGGCCGGGCTCGGACCTGGAACCTTCTTGCTGTGAGGGGACAGTGCTAACCACTGCACCATTATGTGCATTATTAATACTCAAGGAAGTTCATGCCTCAGAAGTTCCAGCTCATTAATGTACCAAATAAATGTGTAAATGTTACCAATTTGCAGTTGGAAAAACTCCAGAGCTCTAACGTAAACAAAATCCCCTGAAATTTAACATCCGATTAAACTCATCTTAAATTAATCTGTTAAATTATATTTACTAACACGGTGTTAAAGTCATTTAACTCTTAGAACCTTCTTCTTAGAGCCGTCTTAGAACCTTTGTTGACAAGGGGACGAAGTTCATCTTGATTTTAGATGATGGTGCAGTGTGTCCTGGCATGTTAATTATTATTGATCAATCAATTAATTATGTTGTGAAGGAGGTGCAGTCCTGTCAATCATTAAGTTATAAAAGCCAGAGATACAAGGTTTCCACACATTAGTACAACCTGTGCTGTGCACGTGTGTGAGCTGATTGGTTAATCTCAAAGGGGCCAAGTCCAAACGAGCTGAAAGAAGAAGCTGGATGGTTGACTGATTGATGATGCAGTTCACTACTGGACTAGGTAGAGTGAAGCATTCTGGCGCCGTCCTCGTCCCCTCCTCCATTTTGTTTTTAGTCAAACAAAGCCCCAAATGTTTGGTGTCAGATGCCCGGTCTGCAGTCAATCAATCAGTTGGCAAGGTGATGCCGGCCCCTTCACAGACCCGCCCACTATGGAATTTAGCTGTGGAGAAAAAAAAGGTAGGTATTAGGTAAAGGAGCTTCCCAGAATGCACTGAGGCAACAGACTCAACAGATATTCACTTACAGTCACCAGCCAACCATCAACCTTACTTGTTGAGCGTGGAGGGGGAGCCTGAGCGATGGAAGTGGACTATCTGCCACTTCCCATCACGGCGGTGCCACACCCTGGTCTCCTCTGATTGGGCAGTGCGAGGCGTGCCGTTGGAGTCAATGTACTGCGTCACTCTGATGTAGGCGATGCAGGCAGCTTCGTCCCCGACCAGGTGAATGTGAGGGTTCAGGATGGTGGTGTGGACAGGTTTGCTGTTCTTAGACCACACTGAGGACAGAGGGATAGTTACCTGGACAGGTGAGATGGCTGGGACTATGAAACATGACTAGAGACACATATTCAAACCACCAGGAGACAATAAGTTGGTTCTGCTCACAGTTTTCAAAATAAAAGCGGTGAAAGTCCAGGCCTTCGACCAGATTTCCCAACGCCTCAGGCTCGAACGCCGTCACAGCCGGGTCACACATTTTACTGAGATGACAAAAACTAGTTCACTGAGAGGACATACCACAGACGGTACACCAAAGATGGACAACGTTTTACAGTAAGACTTTCACAATAAGAGCATTATTACAGATAAAACATGCAGTGTAACGTACGTGTAGCTCTCAAAGTCCCCATTGCTGATCGCTTCAATGAGCTGCTCAGTGACTTTAATGATGTCCTGTTTCCTCACTGAGCAGTGGACAGGAAGATGGACAGGAAGAGAGACAGACGGGCAGTGAAAGAGACAGACAAGTTAGTATCACTCGAAGGTGGCTGATGTTTTTAAATGGATAAAAACTGCAGAAACTGTTGTGTGTGTGTGTGTGTGTGTGTGTGTGTGTGTGTGTTCACCTCTGGTATCTTCGTCCTCTATGGTGGTGTTTGTGCTCTCAGATGATTCCTAGAACAACAGAAACTGTAAGCAATGATGCTGACGATAGTGTTTTGTGCTGAGTTTCCTTCAGCTGCGACTGAGCTTTCAGCGGGCTCAGACTGATCAGATTTGACTGATTCTGCTTCTGCTGGGTTCATGTTTTTATCTCAGCCAGGTCAGGCCACTGTAACACTATCATTACAAACACTTTACAAGGAAGGACATCCAGCTGCACACAGTGACACACAGTGAGTTTAACTCAGGTTTAGTTCTGGCACAAAACTGATTCACTTTATATCAGAATCGACTTTATGACATGTCCAACAAAAGGACAACACCACATGATCCATCACACTACAAGAAGCGCAGGGCTGCTCAGGGGCCTGGCGACTGAGGAGACAAGCTTCATCTGTGTTGGAGGCCTCTGATTGGAACAGCACTGCTGTAGCTTATGGTATCTGATGTAATAATGATGAACTGTTCAGACTCAATGTACGTTAAAAATCACACATCGCCATAACATCGAGACACAGCAGTGCTGCTGCTTCCATGAAAACATACTTGCTACTCAAACTTTTTCTTGCACATTAAAACATGTTTCTTGTTATGATGTAAAATATTTTATTATAATTGCACCAGTTTGTTCAATTTATTTGAGAAACTTTTCACTTTGTAACAACATATCACATCAACTCATTGGCATAACACATAACTGAGTAGACCCCGTGTTTATCAGCTGTGTTGTATGAACCCTTTAAGCTGCAGTTCAGACAGTTTAAATGTTTACGACATTACTGAACAACTCGTTTGTTGATATGTTGGTTTTATGATATAATCTGATAAACTGCAATTTTTTAACAACAAAAGCTTCTTGAAAAAACAGATTTCACTGGTATCTTATAATAAGGTAAAAAACATCCTGTTATAACCATAAACATTTTTTATATTAATTTGAACTGTACATATTTTTTGTCAGGGTGACAACAAAACTCTGTCTCTACAGAACTTACAGCATACAGTCCCACTGTTACACTCAAAGCAGACCTGAGCCTGCAGGGGGCGCTACGCCTTCACCAGCACTACTTCACTATAATGATATTAATAAGAATAAAAACAGAGCCATCACCTTGACTCCGTCGGCCTTCTTGTTGCCGCTCTTTCCTCCTGAACGAGGGACGAGAACAAAGAGAGAGAGAAGCAGCAGCGTCAGAAAGAAAGGAACAAAGGCTGAGAAAAGCAGAGGCAGCATCGCACCGACAACCACCGCCTGCGTGCCCTTCAGCAAAAAAGCCTTTCAGCTGCTCAGAGGGGGAATCTGACAGGAAACTAAATAAATTTACTGAAAAGAAAAAGATTCTACAGAAAGAAAAGCATTGAGAGAGAAAAACTATGAAAAAACAATAAACAGAAATTAGTGGAAATCAAAAATACATCAAATAAAAAACAATTCTCTGACTCTGTTACATTTTCAGGCCAAAAACACTAGAAAAACTATAGATAAAACCGTGAGAAGAGGAACGTGGCACTGCCTCCAGCTGAGCTGACAGACAGCAGCTGAGGAGAGACAGACGGAGGGAGTTGCCGGCGTGACATGTGGGTCGCTTGGAGGGAGTCGAGGCCAAATTTAGGATAAGCTGGAGATCATTGGAGAGCAGAGAGCCTGCACACATTCCTGCCTGTTCACACCCACTAGCTGCATGTGAAAACCCGGCATTACCTGCTCCTGTCCATGGACAACTAACCTTCAACACAGACACAGAGGAAAGGTCATGCACCCCAATCGTCACCACAGATCACAGAGTGAGACTACGGCACTGCTGAACGATGGCACCAGTAATAGAAAACAGAAGTTGCACTTTGTGTTGAGGTTTACTCACTGCTCTGTTTATAGCAGTGGAATATTTTACTGAAAACCATCAGGTTGACAGTTTTTATTTTTATATTTATTTAGACTTTCCAGATCTTACAAACACAGGTTCAAGTGTTGAAAACTCAAAAAACTGTGTTGAAGTTGCTCAAAACTCTGGATCTAACAGGTAAAGTAAAAAAATCAGGTTGTGGCCAGAGAGAGAAAGCAGCATCTGGCGATTTCTTACTGAGCTGGGCTTCTGGCTTTGTGGTCATTCTGTAGTAGGACAATCAAGATGAAGAAAATGTTTTAATATGTCCTGCTTTTTCTAAAAGTGTGTTTTTCTGTTTTACACACACGTCTGTGGACGAAGCTCCACCGACAGACTGAGCAAGGGGCCATGTCCTCTGATGCAGCAGCTCAGCGTGTCGGTGGTTTCCATGCTATCTTTAGACCTGAGTGTGTTTGAGGCCCCAAGACAGCTGAGTGTGTGCACACACACACCCACACACAGAGTGTTAACTTAATTATTAATTGTGTGTATGCTGGCAGCTGATTGGTGTATTTCCTGAGTTCAGCCCCAACAGGTGAAAGGTCAAACCTCTCAAATCCACAACAGGTCATATGACTCTCTGCTAACCAATAGGAAGCGAGGATTCTATTCATCTGAAGAGGTGCGAATCTGACGTAACACGACCTTTGGCCCCTGACCCTGGTACAAGGAGGAGCTGCTGCTCTTACCGGAGAAATTTCTGGTGGCCAACATGGTGGTGAGGATGGCTCCCTGAGGAGAGGAAGGATGGAAGGAAGGTGGAAAAAAAGCAGGGAGGAGAGCAAGGAGGCAAACAAGTTTAAAGATTAGAACAAAACAATCCTTTATTAACTCTGAAATGAAAAGACAAAATATGAACTTTTGGACTAATTTCACACTTTTTAAAACATTTTAATGTTGAATTAAAAACTTTAAGAACTTTTTATGACACAGATGAAACTGTGTAAATGCTAACCTGAGAATGAGGTTTCACTGTTTAGATTTTTTTAATCCGTATTTGTTACATTTAGGAAAATTAAAAGTAGAGCTGCAAAAATTAGCTAAAAATATTCAAGACATTCAGAAGTTTTTTTTTAACAAAACAGAATCAACATCAACAAGATCAGATCTGACTCACATCAGAACAGAGCCTGAAGGCCTGAGACGGGAGCGCAGCCTTAGTAAATAACTTAAACTGAACCTTCAAAAACAAATGGTGCCTCTGCAGCTGGGACTGGCTTTACATCAGGACAGAGCCAAGTGAGTCGGGCCTCTGACCTGTGGCCTGGGCCTACCTTGAGTTTCCTTCTGGCGTTGAACTTCTTCAGACACTCCACGGTTTCCTGTCTGTGCATACAGGATGCCACTGTGGAGCGATGCTGGGAGAAAGAGGACACATCACCATCATCATCAACATGCTAACAGTATGAAGATGACTCCCTGTGTGTGAAGGAGCCTCACAGAGATCCAGGGGTGTTTGAGCGCCTCGGCTGCAGTGATCCGTTTGGCCGGATTGATGGTCAGCATCTTATTAATGAGGTCTTTGGCTTCAGGAGTCACCGTGTCCCACTCTGGAGAAGGAAACTAGGACACACAGAGATAAGGAGAGGATACAAGGAGACATGGAGAACATATTTAAAATCAAAAGGAGTACAGACAGAAACTAAGTTTATGCTCATTTCTTCTATTACAAACATGAACATCCTGTCCATACTCATCCACAACACCGGTGTGTAGAGGAGGTAAGGAAAGTAAATAAAGGACACAAAGACCAGACAGGAGGATGCAAGAAAAGGAGAAAGAGAGATGAGAAGAGGAGACTGTAGGTACAACCCAAGTCACAGGTGATGAGTCATGTGACCTACATCATAAGCTCCAGCTTTGATCTGCTGGTAGAGGCGATGCTGATCTTCATCCCAAAACGGAGGGTAACCGACCAATAAGATGTAGAGAATCACACCTGAGAGTGAGAGAAAACACACCTGAGACAGGAGGACAGAAGGAGATGAGACAAGAAAGGAAGCACAGAAAGACAGGAGACAAGTAGAGGAAACAAGGACAACTGGAGGTGGCAGGAAACGAGCAAATAAGGAGTAGTAGAGAAAACAGAGACAGCAGAGCAGAGTCTGACCACAAGCCCAGAGGTCGACTGCTTTGCCGTACGGGTCCTTCCTCAAAACCTCTGGAGACAAATAACCTGGAGTCCCTGCAAAGCCTGTAAACACACACACACACACATTTCTGTTAATGTGCAACACAAACTAACTCGCAAACAAATAAATAATTAAAACAAGTAAAACTCAGAGATTACAGAAAATCACAGAAATATGGCTGGTTGCTCAGGTGATCAGGGTGGTTGCTGTTCATGAATAAAATAAAATCTAAATAAAAACTTTCCTAATGTGAAAATAAAACAAATTCCAAACAGAAAATATTTCAAGTGAATAAATATGAATAAATATAATGAAATAGAAAAGAGAAAATAGCAAATTAACAAAAAAAAGAAAAACAAACGTGTAAAAAAGTCAAAATAAAATACAAAATCAAAGTTAAATTAAACATAGAGAAGGTGTCTTGAGTCAAAGTAAAAGTAGACACAGGCTGTAGAATCAGCACTATTTGTGGTAATACTGCAGTATTACTGCAGTATCAGACTGAGATCTTACCGAACCAGGCCTGCTGGTCTCCCTCCACCTCGATGGCGAGGCCGAAGTCAGCCAGTTTTACCGCTGCTCCTTTTGACTTGGAGGCCAGCAGCAGATTCTCTGGCTGCAAACACAGGACACCTGCTAACACGCTAACTCTGCCACTGGTTTACATGAGCAATGCCAACAATGCTAACATGGCATTCAGGAATGTTGTGTGTGGAGTTCGATATAGAATATAAGCATTACCTTCAGGTCTCGGTGGACTACACCCATCTGGTGACAGTGTAGCACCGCCTCCAGAATCTGCTGAATACAGTGACTGTTCACAGAAAGACAAAGGTCAGAGGTCATGTGAGTCATGTCGGCGGTATGGAGCAGTGGGTTTGGATGAGGAGACTGGCTCTACTGCACAAAAATGTTACAGCATCAGTGACTAATTAGTGATGAAGAGGAAGAAAGAGGAGGAGGAGAGAAAAATAGAAGAAGAAAAAGTTGACAAAAGCAGAGCAGGTTCAGCACTGCTCACACCACGAGATGTGATATGTGGTGACAAGAAGATGGGTGAACAGATGAATATCTGGATGTGTATGTCTCACCTGGCATCAGCTTCACTGTAATATTCTCTGGCTACGATATCTTCAAATAACTCTCCACCCGTTACCCTGAGAGGGAGAGAGGACATCTCATGGAGAAAATGGCAAACTCTTTGTATCAAACACAAAAACATTACATAACATAAAAGAACAAAGTGAAAGTGATCAACAACATATCACAATGATTCAATATAAAAGAAGATAAGTACAGTGATGATGTGACATAAAACACAGAGGACAACAGGAGAGAGAGAAGCGGGACTCACAGGTCAAAGATGAGGTAATGATGCGCCTCCTCTGAGATGCTGTCATGTAGCCGAACTGAAGACACACACAAAGGTATAAGGATAATAAGGATTATCACCTTTATTTGGCCAAGCACGTTACACACACAAGGAATTTGTTTCCAATACAGAACCGAGGCGGCCACCTGTGGAGCCAACTCAACCGATGGCTCTAACCATCGGAGGCAACTTGGGGGTTTAGTGTCTTGCCCAAGGACACTTCGACACGTGGACTGCAGGCACCAAGATTCGAACCTCAGACCCTCCAGTTGGGAGACGTCTGCTCTACCCACTGAACCACAGTCGCCCCACAATTACCTTAAAATGACCTTAAAAAGGTTTACTGATCCCCCGTGGGAAACCCACCAGCAGGATGTAGAGTACTTCACAGTACAAGTATCAAAGACATTACTGTGACATGGGCCATTCTGTAGGATGAGTACTGGTACTGTTGGTACTTCAAGTCAATTTGGATGCTGATGCTTTTGTAATGACGTACCATGTTGAACACAGGACTGTTACTTACAGCAGAGTATTTCTACTCTGTTGTATTACTACTTTTACTTCCGTAAAGAATGTGAGTACTTCTTCCACCATGGAGTACTTTTACTCGAGTACAATCTGAAAACTTCATCCTAAGTGTTAAAGTGAAGTTGACTGAAGGCATCTGTTTCTCTGCTTCTGCATATATTGTATAATAGGATGTATAACAGAGGAAAGAGAAGCCGCAGCCCCCCCCCCCCCCCCACACCACCACCACACCCACCACTGCTGCACTGTGTAGGAGTGCTTCGAGAGAGAAACCTGATTATTTCTTTCTGAGTGCTTCCACGCAGGTACCAGTGTGTGTTACAGTGCGTGTCTGTGTGTGTGTGTAGGAGGAGAGGGTTTTGATGCCTTCACCTGAGGACACCGTTGCCTGGCAACACACACACACACAGAGTTATGTAACAGTCTTTAGTATCTGCAGAGCATCGCCTGCCCACACAGCGCTCTGACTGGGCGCGTGGCTTGGCTGCTGCCTGCTGATTGGTCAGGTGAGCCCACGTGGGGTCATATTTGAACGTCTCACTGGTTCAATTGGTTTCCGCTTTAATTAAGACACAGTTTGTTTAGGGTGAACTGGATCCGGTTTCAGTCTGTCTCACTCTCAAGATGTTTGCTTGTTTAGAGCTAAACTGTTTTCGGAGGCTTCAAAATCCACCACTGGCACTGACATGAAAGAGAAAGATGGTCAGTAAAATCTGGTGTGGTGCCGGGCTTTTATTGTGAATTAACCACAGGATGTGTTGACTGATAACAACACAGCAGATGACAGGGCACAGACACAACAGACCCCCCCCCCCATCCCACACAGGTCCAACACAGGAGCTGGACACACGCCAACAGATATACTAAACCCTACCCTGCCGTGTGGCCTGTGGTCATTTTCAGTCTCGTTGAGGATCTTGTGAGGGTCTTTGTAGATGTTTTATGTCTTTTTGTAGTTATTTTGCATCTCTCTGTGGTCTTTTTGCATCTCATTTGGCACATTGTGTGTCCTTCCTGGGATGTCTTGCAGGTCACCTGCTCCAGTGGGTCGTGATGATCAGCACAGCAAATGAAGATATGTCCATGTATTCATTATGGATGTGACGCTGCGGAAGCAATATCCACATCCTATATTTGCTGTAATGCATGTGGACTGTGTGACCGCCGGCTAACCAGCCATGTCTTCAAACTCCATACCTCCAGCAGCAGTAGCAGTACCACTGCAGTAATACCAGTAGTAATAAATGCTTTTTAGCAGTAGCATCAATAGCAGTAGTAATGGTTACGTAAAGAGTAGAAATTGTAGTTATAATATCTGTAATAGCAGTAGCTGTTGCAGTAGTACCACCAATAAAACGTCCAGTAGTATTAGCTGTAGTGGTAGAAGTACCAAGGTTCAAGACTTCTTTATTAAAACCGGGGGGTAAACTAGTTGTACAGGCAGGACTTGATATTCATCATAATAATACTTTCAATAGCACCACTACTAGTTTAGTTTTACTGAGCATGTGAAAAACTGAATAAATGCAAGCAGTATTTCCACTGTGTAGTATTTATGCTTATTTGTAGCATTACTACATTAACAATTTTGTATACTCTCAGTACTGCGTGGTATGAGTACTAGAGTAATCAAGATGAGTGTGGAGGAGGGAAACCTCTGCCTCTTTGTCTGTCGTCACTGTGGTGATAGCATCCCCTCATCTATTAGTCAGTACACTATGTTACCATCAGTAACACAGACACCTTCATCATCATTATCCATTTTTAATTAAAACTCATCAAGAGTCCAGTGGTCTGATTGGTAGTAGGATTAGTAGTACTAGCAGTAGTAGTAGAAAAAAAGTAGTAGAAGTAGTAGAAGCAGTAGTTAGCACTTATTTACTTTCTTACTAAATGCAGTACTGACAGTAGTAGGAGCAGTAACGGTAGCAGTATTTGCAGTAGTACTCACCAATGTTGGGGTGTTTCAGTAAACGACAGATTCGAGCTTCACGGTCCAACTTCTGATGATCTGACAACACACACAGATCACAGGCATTGATTAATGATCAGAGGTAGTGACTGCTGATGAGCAATACTGATTACTGGTTAGTGGTATTGATTATTGACCAGAGGTATTGATTAATGAAGTTCTTTTTACTTGCCTGTGACATTTATAAACAGTGACATTACAAGCAACTAATGATCAGATCACATGATCACATGAAGGCCCTGAGACAGGTAAACCCCCATAAGGCAACAGGACCAGACGGTGTCCCCCTCTGAGTGTTGAGAGCCTGTGGGGATCAACTAGCTAGTGTGTATACAAACATCTTCAACCTGTCTTTAACCCAAGCAGTAGTTCCTCGCATTTTCAAAAAATCCATTATCATACCGGTCCCTAAGACATCAGACACATCCACTCTGAATGACTTCAGGCCAGTGGTGCTCACATCAGTCGCCATGAAGTGCTTAGAGAAACTGTCCCTCACACACATTAACCACATGGTCCCGGACACTGTAGACCCCCTCCAGTTTGCCTTCTGCCCCAACAGATCAGTGGACTACGTGACGGCTCTGGCTTTATTCCATGCCCTGAAACACCTGGACAACAGCAGTACGTATGCTAGGATGCTATTCCTGGATTACAGTTCTGCAATCAACACCATTCGCCCGGGCAGGCTGACTGGGAAGATGACAGACCTCGGTGTACCAACTCCCACCTGCAACTGGATTCTGGACTTCCTGACTGAAAGACTACAGGTAGTTAGAATGGGACGGAGGGTGTCTGCTGAGCTCACAATCAGCACAAGCTCACCACAAAGCTGCTGTCTCAGCCCCAAACTCTTCACCCTGTACACCCACGACTGTGTCTGCAACCATGACAACATCATCATCATTAAATATGCTGATGACACCACCATCCTGGGCCTCATCAAGGGGGGAGGCGAGTCAGGTTAGAGAAGCTTGATGAACGACATTCTTGTTTATGTTGAGGAGAATGACCTCATCCTCAACATAAATAAGACAAAAGAAATAACAGTAGACTTCAGGAAGAACCCCTCCCCTCTGCTGCCTCTGACTATCAAAGGGATTGAGGTGGAGAGGGCTGACAGCACCAAGTTCCAGCCGCCACAGTGAAGAAAGTCCAGCAGCGGCTATATTTCATCAGGCAGCTCAGAAAAGCTGAGTTGAACCATTGCCCTCTCACCCAGGCTTATAGACGACTGGTAGAGAGCATCCTCACTGGCATCACAGTCTGGTATGGTAACACCACACAGGCAGACAGGAAGGCTCTTCAAAGGGTCATAAAGACTGCAGAGAGGATAACTGGGACTGAACTGCCTGTAAGAGCATCTCATCCACAGTGTTCTCTTGGGGGACCTGAATAATAGCAGGACATTCTCCACCAAGCACTGGAAACAGGTCTGAATATAAACTGTTTTAGTATGTTATAACCCCTCACTACCTCACCAAGTGTAATGCCATATCCAACTCCACCATGTGAATTACTAAGTGCAATGTTTGAACTTCACTGTGGGAAATACTATTACTCTGTTTTTGTGTATTGCGGTTTTAATGCTTAATGTCGCCTTTATGTAACTTTTTTATTTTAAGACTAAATGTTCTTTCTAGCTTTTGACTCCCTACCTGACTCCAAAGGAGATCTATATGCCTAGACTGTCTGTTTATGCATAAATGGCAAATAAAAATCTTGAATCCTTGAATCCTACAACAGGTAGTACTGATCAGGCTGAAACACATTAATAACCTGGATATTAATTCACCAAGGTATCAATAACATCACCGGGAGCTAAGGGAGGTTCAGGGGAGGGCACCTGGTTCTGGACTCTGTGGTCGCTCCTGTCACTCATCATGCTCTGACTGAAGATGTAAATGCACAAAGTGCCTGTGAACGCAGAGCAGCTAAACCCAAGTATGGCCTCCAGCAGAGCGTGACCAGCAGCAGCAGACTGATCTGAGAGCAGCGTTGCTCAATGACGAGTGTCCGGCAGCCAACAGAGCATCCGCTCAGGAAGGCTTCTTGCTGAGCAGCAGCTCTGAAGCTGCACACAAAGCGAACAGCTCAGACACCGTATCAGAGAGAGCCAAACATCCCAGAGGAAAACACAGGGAACCCCAGAATGAAAGGACACGATGAGCTGCTGCAGACATATTCAGGAACCAACAAAAGCCCCATCAGCTTCAAACACCCAGAGATAAAAAGCAACAGATAGACGGAGGCCAATGCTCTGGGCCTGATCTGAAACTGTGGAGCAGTTTCTTGCTTTGTGTTGGAACCCTCCTCTCTCTGATCATGAGCTCACACCCAGTCTGGGTTTTAACTTCTCCTCATATTCGAGTTGTTTAGAAACACGTGGGAATTCTGTCGCAGGTGAAGCAGCTGATAAACTGATGTCCGTGTGCATCAGAGGCTCCTAGAAACAGGAATGATTCACTGTTAAACAAGCCACAGTGAGTCACTGCATTCTACCAGTCCTGTAGAAACATGCAAGTACTAAGTGGGTGAAGTTTTCCATCATGTACTGTGATTTATCTGTTGGTCTTTATCAATTTGAAAACACAAAATCGTAGCTGCAAACTACAGGTCAACAAACAATGCAGCCAACATCAATTACATTCATATTTTCTGATCAACATGCAGATCTATCACGTACGGCAGCTCAGCCTCAAAGAATCCAAAATTCAACAACTTTTGTTTCTTGTAGGAAACTGACAGATACAGACGTTTGGTTATGAAGTATTGCTTCTTAGTCACTACATCATTTACTAGGTTAGATGAGTAAATAAGAAAGAACAAGATGACAAACTGTCGACCTGGGCCAGCAATTGTCAATTCTTTCCGGATGCTGAATTAGGGTTAATGTTAACCCCGTAAAATGTTGAGATTAACAGCTTCCAGCTAATATCAAGTACTTCCTGCAAAGGTCGGCAGTCCACCATCTTGTCTACAGCTGGGTTCTCCTAGCACCAAGTGACACTTTCTCCATTTCGTTTTTAATTTGCAGCAGGTGCATCAGGCTTCGTTGGAAACATCCTATAATTTATCGCTGAACAGCAGCTCATGTTTAGGAAATGTTTAGTTTCCTGGAAATTAGCTGGAAAATACGGAAGTTGTACAATAAAGCGTTAGTGTTAATGTTTACATTTTGCCGCTCACTTTAACATGTGGACAGGAGCAGCTGGGGATTGAAACACTGACCCTGAGGTAAGAGAACAACCTGCTGAGACAGGGCGACCTCCTCATGTTATTATGATCATTACACTCCTGTCATTAAAACTCAATCTGACATTGAGCTCCAATCTGTTTCCTTCTTCAAAAAAGTTTTCTAACTCTGTGTTTATTGAAAACATTTTGCCTCCTGTGTTGTTTACATCCATGTTTCACTTGAGCAGTACTTCATACTGTGACTGTGATGCAGTCTACAGCCAGTAGAGGGCGCTAGCACCACCCTACATTTGATAAACTGCTAAATAAAGGCAATGGCTTGTTAAAGGACAGGGCCAGTAATGTGAGGCCCATCTGTCTGCAACAAACAACACATTGTCCTGTGCAGAAGCTAGTGGAGCCATGCAATCAATCAGCGACTTTTCCTTCAGACCCTGTGCACCGTGACACCGTTCTCAGCCTGTGAAGCTGTTCGATGGAAACCTGCCCACCAGTGCAGGAGTATGGCTCACTGGGGGGTCTAATAGCTGGTGGACAACAGTGGGGGTCTATGGCACAGAGCGATGAGCTGGAGCAGGGTCTGTACTGAAACATATTATGGTGAGGACACCACACTCACTGGTGCTGCTGGTCTCTGGATGGGGTTGGTGCACAGGAACACAAACACAAGAAATCACTGGCTGCAGCCTTTAACGGTGTTAGCAGGACTGTGTCAGAGACCAGGATCAGGTCTGTGCTGCGAGGATGAAAACAGAATGACAGAATCACTCTGGTCAATGACACTCAGCCATAAGTCTGTAAACTGCTGAATTAAAAGCTAAGATATGAGCAGAGCTGCAGGCTGAAGTGTTGGGAAATAAAATCAGAAATGATCGCTTGTGTAATTTGTGGCTTATTAGAGCTGAGGATATGGAGGAGGTGATTTGGCATCTGAGCACATGGACTTTATGAGGGTGTGAAGCCATTCTAATCTCACAAGAGCAGTCCTGTTTTCTCCTGGTTATCCTTCGATCATACACGACATTTATTATTCACATAATGTCAGATTTGCGCAGTGACAGGTCAGGAGGGTGACACACCTGCAGGTTGTTATGTCCATCATTATGTGTTTATCTGAAACACTGGTCATATATGTAAGGTTTGAAAATGATGTTTGCAGACGTTACAGTGGATCGGACGTTTATCACTGATTGTATGACTTTACAGACCAATATGACTGGCCAATGAAAAACACTGTTAGAAGCAGCCCGACACAACAGCTGGAGCCAAGTCTGGACGGTTGTCAGCAACACTCAGGTTATAGGAGGTGAGCAGTTCATCAACCCATGAAGAACATTTACCGACAACTATTGTGATAGGTGATGAATTGGTCTGAGGAATTTCTCCAGCTGAGCCACTGGTCCCAGTTCGCCCACTGTTCCAGACTTACTGTTTGCTCTGTTCTCTCACAGTGAACTGAGTCTGTGGGGGACATCTGAAGACACCATCATCCACTGATCAGACCACAAATCAAGAAAATGACAGATGAATGGATAATGAGAACAGTCGCTGGTTGCAGCTCTGACAGAAACACAGTGTTTATCATGAAGGTTCACGCCTGTGTCGCAGTCACAACACACTGTGGCGACTGTTTTGATCACTGGGTATTTGAAAGAAACTTTACCCACCGATGCCAAACCTGTTCTGATGTCAGATTCATGTTCTGCCCCAGCACATGGAGTCTCTTTGGATTTTAGACAAAATCAGACAGTTGAAGATGTTGACAAGGACTTGGAGAACCTGAGAATAAACTATTAATCCAGAGAACAAACCGCAGGTCAATCAATCAGCCAGTCTGTCAATCAATCATTAGTTACAGGTCAAACAATCAGCATTTATTATCGGTGTGTGCAGTGACATGTACTAAACAGCTGAAAACTAATGAGCTCAGTAGGGACCATCACATGGTGGCGTTATCATTACCATTATTACTGACCAGGATGATGTCATCTTAATGATGTAACAGCGCTGATAACTTGAGATGTTAGTTTGCTGCAGGGATTTTCAGTTACTGCAGAATCAAACTGAATGACATGAGCGCGCACACACACATACACACAGTTGCTAAGCAACCAGAGGAAATCTCAGAACCAGAATAGAGATCTGTAAAAAATAGAAAATCAACAGAAATGCAGAAAAATCCACAGCTTCAGTGTTTGTCAGTTTTATCACCATGCTGGAATGTGTGGGAGGGGACGCTTCAGTACACCCCAGTACTAACTGGTTCATCTATCCAGTATCACTGGTACAACCAGACGCACTAACTGGTCTCTAACAGACTAATGCAGGTGCCACCAATACAGGTGTAGGTCCTGATACATTCATATAAAGGTGCAGATTCCCCCTGAATGACATGTTGGCTCTTTAATAAACTGAATGTTGACCACCTATTCAGTGTTTTTCCCATTTATCTCTACAATTTAAGTGCAAAAAAATTTCAATAATGTTAAAGCTCACTTTTCATCATAGCTAAAAATTACTTTACATGTTTGGTCAGTTTTAATGAGTTTTCAGTTAGTCTGGTTATCGTCTAGGATGGTGTGTGGTGATGTCACATGATAAAAAGGTAGGTTAAAGAAAAGTGCTACATATTTATCTTTTTATTTTAAACAACTGATGCTATCACATCAAGAAACACACCCAGTGTGTGAAATACCCCCGTGTCGTGTCGCACTGCTTCCTAAACAGAGCACACAGTTTGTTCTGCTCTGTGCGGTGCTGTCGGATCCTCTCAGGTGTCTGTAGTAAACACATGATCATGTGAAACCTGAGACTCATGTTCACGTGCTACATGTTCACACCTGGTCTCGTGCACCAGCCATACACACAGTTCTGTGATACACCCGACCATCTCTATGCTCAGAATCTGATTCCTGTCCTCCTGACACAGGTGCAGTCAAAGACCAACAGACACAACTGTACTGGCAGCCCCCTATGAATACACATACTGGAACCTACTGATGCTGCAGACACGTTTGTCATCCTGACTTAATAACTGAAGTCTCTGTGTGATCACAGTTCTCTCATTCTGCAGAACTGAGCACCAGAGGACCTGTTCAAATCACTCAGGCGTAATCATTCCCCACTGATAAGGGAAGGTTGCTTCTGCATCAGTAACTGTAACCAACAGGTCGATCAGCTCTTCTGTTTAAATTTAAAAAAAAAACCCCGCAACAGTCACACAGCAAATTAAAACACATGAATTATGTGTCAGTCACATGCGCTCAGGCTCTTTATCCATCTTGACTTGTTAGTGAAGGGATTTCAGGCTCTCAGAGACCAGATGCAACCATCACAGACACACTCAGGGCCTGCAGCTTCACAGTCAGCACCTGGCTGTAGGGCTTGTAATGTAGGGTATGTACTGATACTAGCTTCCCACAAGCCGGCACCCAGAATACTGCTGGATGCTATCTGAACCTTGTCTGAGACTTTTCATCTTTAGTTTTCCCTTGCGCTGCTTGTGTTGCCCACAGCGACACTACATTAAGGCTGCAGGGGTTTCAGTGGGAAGTGTTGCCCATATTTGGCATGTGGAGGCGTTTCTTATGTAAATGAGCCAGTAAGATGTACAGGTGGATAAGGAGCATGTTAGATTTATTATTGCTCATGACATGTACCTGTGCCAGTGTCTGACTGCTAAACGCCAGTTTTCATGATCTCACAGAAGAAGCTGTTCTCAGTACACATTGGTAAATGATGCTGCAGCTAGCTCCGACCCAAACTGACCCAGCAGTAAACCATCTGTGACCACTGGTGTTAATATGACTGATGTGTTGGTGCAACAGCCCTGCTCCAGACCCTCACCTCTGGCAGACAGTTTCTTGGTGTTGATGATCTTGGCAGCGTACTCCTGACCTGATAGCACCTTCACACAGCGACGCACCACCGAAAACGCTCCCCTGGAAACAAAGCAGGATACCCATCACCTGGAGACCTATCAACCTGTACTTCTCATGGTAAATGGACTGTATTTATATAGCACATTTTCACAGTGTGTAATAAAGTAGTTTGTCATGTTCAAACAAGAGGTTGTAACAAGATATTTTAGGTATTACAACTACTGCTACCACTGACTGTTCTACTGCTATGATCTCAAAGATTATCACTGCTACTGCAAATATTAGCATATTAGCACCACTGCTACTACTAAAAACATGACAATTACTCATATAACTGCTGATACTACAAATACTACTACTTCTGTTCCTGAACATATCTTACTACCACTACATTTACTATAATTGCTAATACTTATAGTAGTATCTGCACTATGAACAGAAATACTATTAAAACTGCAAATTCTACTGCTGATGCTACTATACTGTAAACACTACTACTATTGCTACTGCATTTATAGCTACTACTGTTGTTCCTACAACTACTGCTGGTACTACAGGCCTGATGATGTCACAGTTATACTGTAGGTGTGGTTGTTTACCAGACTAGGAATTAAATGGCAGTTGCATTGTGGGAAATGTAGGATCCAATGCCTGGACTAGAAGTCCTGATATCTCCCCCTCTGGTGCTCAGATGCAGGTTTCAGTCAGTTCTAATGGTCAATATATTAATCACTAATAAGGTTATAAATGATGAAATATAACATTTTCCCCTCAACTATCTTTATGTGAGAGCTTTTTTTTTTTTTTAACAGAGAGCTTCTTTCTGTGTCTTATGAAAGCTGCGTTCTGCCACCCACCATCACATTATGTAAGAAACCTGGCAGTGTGTGTGTGTGTGTGTGTGTGTGGGCAGCGAGTGGGATGGGGTCACAAAGGTTTTACACTCATCCTTCTATCCATCCGTCCATCCAACTGATCAGCATCAAAATCAATAATCTATAAATCATCAACATCAATGTAACCAATTAAAGTTGAAACAGATCAGAACATGCTGTAATAATGAAGATAATAGTTTTAAGAAAGTTTTTTAAACAAAAAATAAAGCAGATATTAGATACACTATGGAAAAATGCATTTTATAAAAACAATATAAATTAAGGCATAAAACTCATTAAAATAATTGTAATTTACTACTAGCACTGCTACTAACAATAAAAATAACTAATATAAATATGTAGGAAATGATGACAAATATATGATAAATATAAAATAATAATGATGATAATGGTAATAACACTGACCCACAAATCACCTGGATCAGTAGAACAGCAAAAATACCAAACAGATTGATACAAATATTTATAGTTAAATAAATTATTTCTGTGCTTAGTTAATGTTAAAATTTTAAATAGTAAAGTGCAAATAAAAATATTTGATATACTAAATAAAACTGTTAATTGTAACAACAAAAATGATAAAATCTATATAAATATATACAAAATTTAAGTAGAGATAAAGTTGTACACAAATAAAATATTAATCTAAAAATATCAACTTTTGTGTCAATTTTTATCTGTATAGCCCAAAATCACTAATCTGCCTCAATAATAATAATAATAATAATAAAGATAATAATAGCTATTGGTACTGTGGTACCAGTACTGTTCACAGTTCTACAGTACTTTATCTGATGATGATGACAGTGATGATGAAAGGTGACAGTGATACTCACTTGCCCAGCTCCTCGTACAGCTGATACTCCTCGGTGAAACGAGTACAGATGACCGTTGCCATGGTGACCCGGCGGGACAAGGGTCAGGGGGCTCCCTGTCCGTCTTCCTCTGAGGATGATGATTGTGGTGAGGATGAAGATGATGAAGGCCAAGAGTCAGACCTGTCTGTGTGTGTGAGGGATGGAGGAGACAGAAAGAGAAGCAGCAGCAGCAGAGGGATGGAGAGAGAGTCCTGGTTCTGGATGGAGGAAGAGGAGGAGGAAGAGCAGCAGGAGGAAGAAGATGGAGGGATGAAGGAGAGAGCAGCGAGGAGAGCAGCGTCTCTCTGTCCTGATCTGAGCCAGAGGCTGAGTGACGCTCCAAGACGCTCCACCGGCCCGCCTACTGCCCCGCCAGCCAATCACAGCCCAGGACACACACACACAGGTCGCCATGGTAACTGCATCCTCTCCGTGCTGAAAGTAAGACGCAAACAGGGGCCAGAACTGCAGTATTACTGCTACTGATACTACTGCTGCTAATACTACTGGTAATATTACACTAGCTCAGGGAGAAGGACTGCAGTACTACTGCTACTGGTACTGCTGATACTACAACAGCTCAAGCAAGAACTGGGGCAGCACTGCAGTACTACTGCTAATGCATGCACTACTGCTGTTTCAGCTCCAGGCCAGGGGCCTTTGTGGTAATACTCTCTCTTTCTGCTTCTACTGTTCTTAAATAAAGACACAAATATAAATCTTCATTAGCAGTTGACCTGTACCAGAATACTACTTCGCCTCAGTACTCTGTAGTATAGCATTACCCATGAATATTTGCTGGTTTCTATGGTTTCCTTGAATAATAGTCTGAATATTTCTGCTCAGACAAAAACAAGACACGTCACCTTGGGCTCTGGGAACTTTTGTGGACTTTTCTTTGTATATATTGAGGTATTTTAATTAATTGACTAAAGGGTTAAATAAGTAAATCAACTGTGGATGTAATGTTATCTGCTGCTCTGGATTCCTTCATTCTGTGACCTGAGGCCAGAGACAAAACTCTTGTCTATTTTTAGCTCTGTCTGTCTCCACAGGGACAAGCATCTTTCTTTCTCTCTCTCCCTCTGTCCTTCTGTCACTCATCTCTTCTGCTTGGTTTCCTTTTTTCACGCCTCCTCCTCCTCTCTCTGGGGATGAAGAGGAGGAGGAGTGAAGCAGAGCTGAATGTCTGAAACACTCCTGTAGCTGCTGGCATCAAAGTACAGATAAAAATCTTTGCTCCAACATCGGAAACAGTTGTCAGTCTAATGCTTCGATGAATAAAACAGACGTAAACAGGGGAAAGTGCTGTAGCGCCCCCTGGAGGCTGCATGTTGTTACAGACGCAACATGAACCACAGAAACAGCAAGCGAAGAAACACAAATCAGAGTGAGAGCTGAATTGTTTGTCTGTCACTGTGTAGGAGCTGCTTCCTGTTGCACCTAACTGAGGCCAGCACTGGGCTGGTAGGCAAACATATGTGGTGGCATATGGTGCTATCTGGTGGTATTGGTTAAGTATAAATTAACAATAACACCACATACTGTCAGCACAAGCTTTTCAAAACTAGAGCTATGCTATGACACAGAAATGAGTTGTACCTCACTGTGTTTGTTCATCCATCAAACACCATCGAGATGCGTTGGCCCAACCTCCACAAAGAAACTCAAAACCACCACACCAAATATCCTCATCATGCTGGTTTAAAACTGAAGCTGGTCCTCACAAACACAGCACACACTCTCTCCGAGGTCTCAAATCCTCTGCTGGCCCCTACTGGTCTCAACTCAGCACTGCAGAAACCTGCTGCTGCTCATAAAACCTACTCTCCCTCTAGTCTTTTCAGCAAAGAGGGTCTAGTGAGACCCAAAACAAATTGACAACATAAACCCCTCCTTCCTGCTCTCTGCCCTTTTTTTCTGTTTCCTGAAGCTATGACGTAAACTAGGGATGCCTGGTTGAGACAAACTGTACGAAACACAGCATCCAGACTGAAGCTAGCATTAGTTGGCTAACAGTAAATGTGCCAGTCCAGTAGGACACTCTGGTTACTGCTGACGTGACACAAAGCTCCAGTTACTCCCAAATTAAAATGATAATTCAACACAAAGGTAAAATCCTGACCATGCTACGTGGCTAACGCTACCAAAACAAACAGGTTAGCTTTAGATGCCAACACATTCAGAAGGAAGAACGCTACATCTGACATTAATAACTAGAGCTTTTAAAATTAACCATTCATCCTCTGTAACAGTTTGAACTCACCACTCTCTCGTGTGAAAGTGCAACAACTGACTGATGAAGCCAGCAATGTCTTACATTCCACATCTGAAAAGAGCTTATGATCCTGGATAAGCAGGTTTACAGGATCAGGACTCTGATGATCCCTGGTCCTGATACCTAAAACATAAAGAATAAAAGCACTCGGAGAAACAAAGATGATCCAACATCAAAAGATTTATTCACACATTAGATCCATGATAACTAGAAACCAACAACAGTTTGTTGCCTGATGAACATAAAATCAGCTCATAAGACTAGAAACTGGGCTTTACTGAGATGGTGCGGAGCTCTGCTGTAATTGATACAAACACATCATGTGAGTTGGTCACATGATGTATAAAACCGTAAACATTCCAACTTTAAAATGCTAATTTTTTTTTTTTGTTTTGAAAATGTAAAGTCTAGAGTCCAGTGATATGGGGTCAGGACAGGTTGGTAAGTGAGAGGTAGTTCAGTTCTGATTTGGTGTTCAGGATGATTAACAGGGTCACACAAAGTCCAGAGTGTCTGGAGTACAGAGTCTAGTGTTTTACATCTAGATTCCCAATTTTCAGTATCCAGACTAAAGATCTGTGTCAAACATTCAGAGCTTTAAGTTTTGAGTTCAGACCCCAGACTTTAAAGTCTAGATTCATGAGTCCAGAATCTAAAGTCCACAGCTTAAGGTGTTCTGAAATAGTCTAAAGTGCCGAGGGTTTAAAGTCTAGAAGTCCAGAGTGCTTAGAATCTGCAATCCAGAGTCCAGAGTGTAGAGTCACACATCCTGAATGAGTCTACAATTCAAAATTCAAGTATTCAAAGATGAAAATCCAAAGTGTCTAAGGTCCAGAGTTAAGATGTACAATCTAGAGTTTAGGGTCCAAATCTAGAGTGCCCAGAGTCCAGGATCCTAGTCTAGAGACCAAAGTCCAGAGTTTAATGTCCACAGCCCAGAGCCTAGAGTTCACAAATCAAAGACTGGAGTCCAGAGTATAAACACACTCTAGGCCAGAACTGAAGGGTCTCAATTTGAACAGTAAATGTCCCCACTGCCTCCTACCTGCTCCTGGGGTTCTGACCTCTGGTTTTGGTTAAAAGTCAGTTTGTCAAGAGAGGAGAGAAACCTGCCAGAGACTCCTGCAGGATTAACGGAGTCAGGACTGGGAGACTGGGTCCTGGACAGATTCTACAGGGTCCAGGGCTGGTTCTGCAGGTTTCTGAAGTGGTTCTAGAAGTTCTGGACTTAGTTTTCGAGTCTCAGCGATGAGTCGTTTGACGCCGACCATCCACTGGCTGACCTCAGTCACATGATCAACCATAAGAGAGCGATGAATCTCATCAGCTGAGTCCCAGTGACCCGCCTGCAACTCTGAGAGACAGACAGGTAATCAGACAAGCAGGCAGAAGGACAGATGGTGACACAGACAGGCAGGTGTTCAATCAACAGGTACGTGATGAGACAGGTACCTTGAACCAGGGTGTCCATGCGCCTCTGGACAGGTAGACTCAGTTTTCCTGACTTCCAGCTGTCCTCCAGGAGGTGGAGCCTCTTTGCCACATCATTACACACCTGATCCTGCACACAGGTCAAAGGTCACAGTCCATCATCGTCTGAATCACAGACACATTAAAAGACAGTTCTAGTTTATTTCACCCTGGTGTGTTTCCCATAAATGTGTCCACTGTGACTCAAGTTTCCATCTACCTTTAAAAACCTGAGTGAAAATGCCTGGATAAAAATCTTGAAATATCTCTGAAAGACTAGAAGGTTGAGTATCCAAACTCTAGACTCCAAATTCTAGAGTTCAGCATTCAGTCTAGTCTCATCAAAGATCTAAAATCCAGTGTCAAGAGTAAGGAGTTTAGAGTCACTGCAGTCTATCTGTGATATGGTTCAGCACTTTTATCCCTTTTTAAATCTGTTTTGCATGAAGGAGTTAAAGAGCAGAACTCCTACAGCCCCAGACGAGGGAGGTGCTCTTTGTACGTCGCTAAACAGATCCCAGCTCAAATGAGCAGTCCTAGATTTTCTAACGCCAGCTAAGGTTATCAGGATATTTCTGTTCCTCAACCCCCACCTCTAATGCGGGTTAGAAAAGCTGGATTCAATCATCCAAGATAAGTGTATGCTCTCGTGGTCAGTGACTAGAATGGTGTGCCATGAGGCAGGTTCAGCTGTGCCGTGGGATTCTGTGACAACCATACATTGCAGTATACAACAGTACAAAAAGTTATGAATGCATTTTTAATTTACTCTATCAGTACTCATTTCCCAAGACAGAGGCAAATCCCACAACCTAAAACAACCACCTCCAGAAAAGAGAGAAAGAACTGTCAGTAGACAGTATCATGAAAGCTGCCTGTCTTATGGCTTCAGCTTGACCGCTGATGTCAACAGCCCTCAGCCCAAGCGCGTCATCTGTCAGGGGCAGTTAACTAATGCTGATGTGGTGCTAAAGAGGCACTCGGAAACCAAACATCCTATCTAAAAGAGACGTGGCCTAAGAACACGATCTGCACCAGAGGCAGCGAGACTGTTTGTGTGAAACTGTCTGATAAGGTGACGGAGGCAAGTTAAATGCTAGTGGAGCTTATCACAAAGTAGACGAAACCTCACACAGTAGCAGAGACACTTGTCCTCCCCGCTTGCAAAATGCAGGTGTCATGCTCGGTCCAGATGCCGCACAGATGTGCTCTCTTCAATAGCACAAAGGATGAAAAAGTCTTCAAGCACTGACACACGTGTCTCACTGGCTTGTAAGTGGGAAACGATATTTAGAAACGCAAATGTTATAATGCTGAATCAAATTTAAGTTACATTTAAAATGTTTTCTTTTCAACTCAGTGTCAACCAGTTTTCATTCTCAATGCATCTCTTTTCTTTACAGTTTTAGAATAAAGGTTTTTTTCCAACTCAGTACATACTCTTCCTGCTCCAAGACCCTTTAAATCTGTCTTATTTACATTGAATAAGCCTGAGAACTAACCTGTTCCCAAGCAGGTGTGAGATTATGGACATGTTACTATGACAACAGGTCCCTCAAGAATTTTGAAGAACCAAGAAATCCAGGATAATGCGAAATTATCAACAAAATTATCCAGCTAACTTGTTAATCAATGTATGAAGAAGACTCCCCTGAAGGATTTAAACTCACTTTAACCGTTTGTCTGCAGGCAGCCAGCGCTCGACTCAGCACCAACACCACGCCCTCCACTGCAGGCTCACTCTCTGACTGGCTGCTGTTGGCCTCAACCTGACTTCTAATTGGTCCTAGAGGGGGAGGGGGTGTGGTCATGTATCCAGGTGGTGGAGGACCTGTGAGGAGTTCAGAGGTTTAGACATTGTCTCTGGTTCTTCTTTTGGTCAGGATGACCTGCTTTTATTTTTGTTCCTTACCTGGATGTGGAGTGGGTGGTGTGACACCACATGGGGGTGGGGCCAGAGGGTTGGAAGGTAGAGGCATAGGGGGCGGGGCTCCTGCACCTAAGGAGCAACCAGAAAACAGATGTTTTGATGCTTTACTGGTCAAGTTAGATTGTAGAGAGAAGTTTTATTGTATTTTGATTCAATTCACACAAACATTTAGTCGATAAAAAGATTATTCAAACAATCAAGAAAATAATCAGCAGATTAATTACCCCTGCATTTTTTATCTTCACTTGTTTATTCAGGCATTTCGTTTCATTTATCACCACCTGTATGTTAATCACTGGGGTCACAGTTAAAGATGGTGTCGTGATGGACTGCATTATATCCACAGGTGTTCTTAATACTTTGACCCCACATGTATGTAAAAGGACAGAAAGACACAAACACCTCTGACCATAATGCAGCACAGCAGCACTCAGTGAAGGACTAGACTCTGTGGATCAACAGGAGGTGTCGAGTATCAGCAAGGTAGCAGGTGTTTTCTTACCTGAAGCAGGAGGGACTGCTCTCTTGTTCAGGAGGTTCCTCTGTGGTCCGCGGGCCATCTGAAGGCCATACGAGAACTGAGGGGGGTCATTCCAACCTCGCTCCTGGTTACCTGCACAGAGACGGGTTCAAAGGTTCAAGACTTTGGGAAACAGACAGAGTGGCTGGCAGAGACCTGGAATACAATCCAACTGGTAGTCCTGCTGCTGGCTTACAAACTCATCGGTGCTGAGCTCTGACACATCTGGACCGCTGCCTTGCACTGCGGTCCACAGCACAACATCGACCTCAAGCAGCTGGTCTGTCAGAAGACAGGCTGGTGTTCAGGCTGTTAACCTTCTTCTTCAAACTGTCTTTTCTTAGAAAGAATCATTTTTAGGAATAATCCCTGTCACTGTAGAGAAGGAGCTGTTCATCAACTCAAAATAATCCCTGTCACTGTGGAGAAGGAGCTGTTCATCAACTCAAAATGAAAGATAATAAAAAGCGATATGTAACAACAACAAAATAAAATTGTTTTAAAAACTGTCACACACAGTCTTGAATACTGTGGGACCTTAGTGACTGTTCTATATTGTTACTGCATGCATGATGATTATTATGAATCCACTGTGCCTGATGTTTGTTTGTTTTGTATGAATTTGTATAGGTTGTGTGTATAGAATCTCAATATCATTTGCTTTTAATTTATATAGTTCATATAATCATGGAATCACTGTAGCTACTTTTCCCCATGGAACCCAGGACTCACTAAAACCTGACTTCATAATCTTTATTCTGAGTGAAACCGATACCTGGGTCAGAGATATTTAACTGTAAAACGCAAGCGAGTCCAACTAAACTCAGCATGGATTTTTGCCCTCTTTCTTATTCGGGACAACGTCACTTCAATCATGTATGCTTTGTCCCTAAATGCTGCATTTAGATCACAAACGTACTACTGCTGCTGATGAGCAACACCTTCTGATGTAACAGCGGAGTTCCTTTACACCACCACATAACATACACTTGACTGCTATAGTGCTGCTGAGGAAATAGTCTTAGCGAAAACAACCGCTGCAAATTTACATTTACACGTATTTAACTTTTACCTAAATATTAATGGGACAATTGACTTCATAGATTTGTGAATGATGTTCCTGCACCCGTTCTTGTCAATGTGACTTCATTCTCACAGGATCAAAGCAGACGAAATATGGAGTTAGCCGTTATCCTTACAGCACGAAAAATCATTCGCAGCTTCATTACCATTAATGCCAGTTTTATTAGCTTTATTAAAGACTGTCGGGAGCTTTTAAGTAAAGGTAATCTCACCCGGTTTAATGTACATGTCCTCCATGTTGGATTCCGCTGTGTCAATCAGCTAACTTCTTAACGTCGAGGAAGCTAAACTAACGACTAAGCTAAGATAATTTAAAACGCTAAAGATTTTAGGTAAACTCGGGTTTAAAATAATACTTAATTTAACAGTCATATAAGCCGTTGTATGAACTTTCTTCTTCTTATGTTGCTTATTGTCGGTTTGCAAACCTTGTATGAACTTTACGGCGTTTAGTTTACGTGAGTTGAATCCGTGTCAAGAAGTTAAAGAAACACTCCACTCTAAAACTTCCGCATAAATTTCACAATAAGACTACCCAGAAATGTAATTATTCCAAACTCTTTATCAAGGGCGTGGGTTGGATTGATAGGGACAAATCCCCTGTCCCCCATCAGCCTGCTCTGCTTCTCTCGGCTGTTGTTGCTCCCTACATACAACATACATCGTTTTCATGGGGTTTGCAGCCTGCCCATAATGCTAAGTGATTTTGGTGACACTACTGTCTAACAGTGAATTAATGTAATATTTTTTCCCAATAAAAATTCCCCCAAATTACGAAGAAACATATTTTCCCCAAGGGTTGTTGCATAACCAGCAGACGGCCACTGATCTGGGGAGTAATTTTAGTAACACTACACTGGGTAGAGTAAAGTTACTGAATATTGTACTTTGTAGACGGTCCCCGATTTGCCTCACAGCCGCTGCACACTGAGACCAGTGTTGTTTGTCTGGAGCAGAGGACGACTCAGTTTGATGGAAATGAACTTGTAGCTTGTTGTCGAAACAAAGAGGCTTCGTTTGTATTTTAGCAATATTTCACTACTGAACCAGAAGCTTCGAATCTGTAAATGTCCTTCCAACTTTACCGAAGTCAGCCACTGAAACACACTGTTGTCAGCGCACTGACCGACAGCTACCGCCTCCGTGTCTGAGAACAAATGTGACATTTGGTGTAACGTGAACTTTGGGTCATCGCCTCCTTTTCAGTAGGCTAGGCACATCGTAATGATCTAATCTGACTTCGCTCCAAACCTAATGTACATGGGTTTGCTCAAATATTGGTAGAGACCGTCCATACGGAAAACTACGCCCTTGTTTTTTATTATAATTTTCATTCACGTAATATTTTGTATATACATTATTGTATTGCTAAATCTCCAGACTAATATAAAATATCAACAAACCTTTAAGTAAAGGCAACTACAGCACTTTTTTAAAAAGCAATTGTGCTTTTACTTTGACTTTCTGTAAATTTTCTGAGCTTTACATGCGCCCTACCGAAAAACTTTTCCGGACACGTGGCCACTTTGCCACGCCTACTCTGACGTCATGTGGACAACGTCAGGTGAAACATGTTGGATATGGATGATGACATCCTTTTATCGTTTCTTTTTTGTGCTAAAGTCATAATGTGTATCTCGCTTTGTTTTAGTATTTAATGCAGAAAAACGATGATCAACAGAAACTTGATTAAATTCATTGACATTTTCCATCCATTGTGTCAGGAAATCTCTCTTCAGGACATTTCATACAGACTACACCTCTAAACATATATATATATACATATACTGAAGAAATATTCCCTTTAGTGAAATATATCATCATGTCATGGCCTGGCTCCAAGCAGGGGAGTGCGGCATACAATCTAACACATTTTGGTTTTTGAGAAACAATTAAAAAATATTATTACACAAGCAACATACACATCTGCTACAAATGAACATGAGCTTTATTTGTAGCACCTCGTGTTCTTGTACACTCCTACTGAAAAAGATGCGGTGTTACAACTTGACCTATGTGTGGGGTCAAAAGTAACAGACAGAGAGTTGGTTGTAACACTGGCTAGAAAAGTCTGAAAGTCTGAAATGGTGAAAACAAAATTCATTCAATATAATTCTATGTTTTACCAAACAAGGATGTTTCCCAACCATACTGCATTTTATAATATTGATCTATAGGACAGACAGACTGATCAATTGATAGGTCCCCCCTTACATGTGAAATTATACATGAATGTGACATGAGACTGTGCATCAAACAATAAAAATTTTATTTTCTCTCCTTAAGGTAGGACAGCAAATAAAAATAACACCATGGGTAAAATATGGATCGTTTCCAAATAAATAGCTCCTTGTCATTGTTTACACAAGCAAAATTAGTTGGAGCACAGCGTTACAACTAACCCCACAGTGTGGAGGCTGTACTCCAGCCTAGCTAGCACTTGCCGTGAGCTCATCAGATATTTCAAAATGGTGCAGTGCTATAGCAGCAAGGTGGTGATTTAAGTAATACAAGGTTGGATTTTGTGATTTACACATAAACCTTACTAGCCAAGAAACACCTATGATTAAAAAAAATACTTTTGCACTGTGAAAACTGTGTTTGGCACATATTTCCTCAAAATGTAGACAGACCTTTCTGAATGTTTGCAGGAGACCATGACTAGCAACTGTGGTAATATGACCTAAAGCACATGCTGCTTAACTTTGTGTAAAGACATGAAAAGCTTGTGTTATATTTCACCCTGCGCTTCCCTATTTTTCTACTCACTCCATTAGATACTAAGGCTGAGTGTAAACATGTGGTATCTGGAAGTCAAATACAAGTGTCATCAGTTTCTTTTGCTCATCATTACTTCTTTGTGGCTCCTTCAAATTTTTAATCACACTGCTGGAGCAACATAATGTCTACAAATCGTGTTGTGAGCAATGTGGACTTGGCTTTAAGTGTCTTTGCAGTGGTTCTGTGTCTTCTAACTGAGCTCTGTGACTTTCAAACCACAAATACTAAGGTGTGCCACAGGGATCTCTGGACATGTGCCCCGTTAGGCCTGTTCAGTAACCCACACCTGGGTCCAGGTCACATTAACTGATTAATAACATTGATAGATTATTGTTATATATAAAAGGGAAATCCAAAAACAGATGTACTGAGTGTAAAAATCCAAAAATTCTTGTACTTTGTGGTTCCTTTTATTGTCTAGCATGACCTCACTGTTATTTAATGTTTTGGTTTTATTCTCTATAAAGCATTTTGTAAACTCTGTTTTAGAAAGGTGCTCTACAACTAAAGTTTTATTATTTATCAAGAAATACTTGAAGAACATCCTGTATGTATTGTTTGTTTTCCCTCATTCTTGTAAAAAATTGCATTTTATGTGCTATTACAAGGTTTGCAGAAACCCTGACTATACTGCACTAACGCTAACACTGACCAGTTGTTTTACTCTGTGTGGTTTTTATGAAAATGTAATTTAACGTGATTTTTTTTACAGTGAAGGGTGAGTGAGGCAGAGATGCAAAGAGGGAGGAGAGTAATGACATCAGCAGGAGGAGGAGGAGGAGGAGAACAGCATCCTTCATCACACAGAGAGGAGAGAGACGGAGAGGAGGAAAGACAGAGGAGAGAGAAAACGCCAGGTGGAGAGAAAATAAAGGAGGAGAAGAAGAAGACTGATGGTGCTGGCTGAGAGGAGAGTGACGGACGGAGGGACGAGCAACACTGACACAGACTGATAGACAGAGAGAGAGCGAGACAGACAGGCAGAGGGAGGCTGTAGCATCCGTCAACTGGGCCTGTGTGTGTGCGTTTGTGCTATCAGCTGATTGGACCACACACGCTGAAGGGTGGAGCCATGATGGGCAAGGATTACATGTTGGCCATCATCATAGTCAATTATGAAGGTAACACGCACACATTAACATGCACACGTGCAAACACAGGTCCCTGCAATCCCACAGGCTTAATAGGACCAGCAGCCACTCTGTGGTTTACATGTGGTGTGGAGACTATCCTCCAGTAAGAACTGATCTGTGCAGCAGGTTATTATGGGCAGTAGTAGCTGTAGTTAGGCCACCTCTGATTATAATGTGAGCAAAGGAGGAAGTCATGTGATGCAGAATACAGAGCTACACGGTCTGTGTCAGGAGGAGGGCTGGGATCTGTGGCTGGTACATAAAACACAGGACGTTCCCACAGGACGCTGGGGTTTGGTTCTGCTGTGAAACTCTGCTTTTTATCCATGTGTGCTCAACAAATGTACCACATGTTTACTAGTGTAACTGCAACAAGGAAGGAGCATTTAACCCAAACCATGATAGCATAAACTGTTTCTAAAGCTAAGCACATAGTTTTGGTTCTTGAAGCCAAGCAGTTGACTGATACACTTCATAGGTACTCAGTTCAATTCAATTCAGTTTTATTTGTAATCACAACAAAAGTCATCTCCGGACACTTTACAAACTAAGGTCTCAACCTTACTATTATAATTAGTTGGTCATGACTTACTGAGGTGTGGGAACACGATAATTCCTGTTCCAGATGCTATTTACTTTAGGTTTTCACTACTGACTGCATGTCATTCTGTTGGTCAGTCTGTATCGACCGGTACGTCCCCCTTATCCTTCTCTGGCCTCATCCTTGTCTCTCAGTCAGCTGATTCACTATTTTATGCCTCTGAGGGTTTATTAATTATTCAAATCCTCTTTGGTTTCCTCTCCTCTTTCCTGTCGTCCTATGCGGTTCTTTGACCTCCCATTACCCTGTCGTCCTTTGTACACTTTGTACCGGGTGGACAGTATCATGGCCACTCACAGTATAATGCAACACTATTGTTTAAAATTCAACTAAATGAGACCACTGCGTAAAAGTTGTAAACATAATTTATTGGTTGAAATTTTCCAGAAACATACTTCACAGGAAGCAGCTGCTTGTCTGTCCTGAACAGTGTCTGACAGGCTACAAATCCACCAATCACATGCTTCTGGTTACTTTTACATTAGAGATGGTGAGGGCGGAGGCTGATATTTTGTAGTCTTCTCCATCATCACCACCACCATCCAACGATTCTACTGAGAAACCAGAGGTGAAGCGGCTGTAGAACCTGCCTGGGAATCCTCCTGTTGTTAAGTTTCCTTCACTATCACAGTGATCCAGTGACAGTTGTGTGCACGTCCACGGGGACACTGCACACAGGAGCTGCTCACTGCTCAGTCTGCTGCTGGTAGTGGGGACACTGTGACTAAACAAACAAACCAGGCCTCTGATTGTGAACCTGGATGTATAAGAACTGGATTATGCACTTTCCACTGAGCTGTCGCACGCTCTGAAGTGTCTTTTCTGGGCTCTGGTTTTACACATATCAAACCTCCATGAATTAAAACTCATAGTATGAAATGAAAGCATTGGTGGGGTCCTGCCAACAGGGGCTCCATGTGTGAGGGCGGGATAAGCTCCCATCCATGGCTGTAGACCACACTAACTCACTGTATCCATGGTAATATTAAAATACCTGCCAGCTTGACTCAAAGCATCAGAAACATGTCTGACCCTAAAGAGAAGAGTGAGACCAAATGCACTAATATATGCAAGTTTTGATGTTGCACTGTCAATATACGTTTTGACATTAATTAAAATCTGTGCAGACAGGCAATAAGCTTCACATATATTACATAAGGTGATTATTGTCCTTAAAAAGTGACCAAGAACTTATACTACAACTCAGACGCTCATTTATTCTGAAAAACAATAAAGTTGTTGCTTGACTGTCCTGGGAAATAAAATGTCTTTCACTCTGAGTCACAAAAACTAGTGGGTTAACTCATAAGCTGAACTAAGAACCATCTCTGAAGTCACCTATTCAGTTTATTTTTGTTTACTGATTTATTGAATTTATGCAGTTTTTATGCAACATCACATGTGAGTGTCAGTGTGAAATCGATTTCTACTGCAGAAATGAAAGTGCAGAGGAAGACTGATTTAGTACTTCACTGCTGACATGTTGTTTTTGATGATCAATATTTCATGTTATTATTAGCTGAATCTCAGTTGGTCTAATGTTAGACAATTGGCAGACGTCTCCTGACCAACCTGCTCAGCCCGCAGCACTTCAGGCCTTCAGCCAACAACAGCTGGTTACAGATGTTTTCACTGCATCTCCCTTTCACCAGGAACATGTCCCTGAGATGGACTGATTTATAAAATTTCAGGACTTTCAAATTAGGAGGGTGAGTACTATCCCCTTTATACACTAGAGATCAGGGAAAATTGTTTTACAGCAACATCAGTCAGACTACAACAAATAACATCCTGTAGTTTTTAGAACAGCTGCACACACCTGTCTTCTTCACCACGTCTTTGCCTCTCCCCACTGTGCTTCTGTTACAGTTTAAACCTCTGGTATTATAGTTAAACTTTTTCTAGATAGAAATACCTTAACTGTTCAAAACTATTGTGAAGTATTGACCTACCCAGAAATCCTCTAACACCGGTAATTGGCACAAGTGGAAAACTGCAGATTAAATTTGACCAAAACTGAAAATTTGGGTGGGCTTACTTGTTGCTAACCACTTGTGGTTGTAATGCACAGTGCAGCCTGCAGGGGCAGCTGTGACTTTTATCTTCATGTTGCTAAGAACGGAGGACAGATGCTGACAGCGTTATGTCTCTGCAGACAACATCTGGACTGACCAGAACCTGCTGCTGGACCCAGACCTTCCATCTGGATGGAGAACCATCAAAGACTCCACAGGAACCTACTATTGGCACGTTCCAACTGGCGCCACCCAGTGGCAACACCCCCGCCTCACTGGGACACCACAGCCCCTGGACACACAGGTTAGGACTATTAGAACCCCTGGAAACAGACAGAACTAATTAACAAAGGGCTAATGTTAGAAATGATAACAACAGATCATGATGGCAACACAACTGGATAAAAAACAAACAAATACACGTTAGAACAGACAACTAAGAGAACCCTATAAAACACATACAACTCAACAGAACAGGTTAGATTAGATAGAAGAGATGTAATTTATTTAAGCATTTACACCCTTAACCCAATTTAGCCAAGTTAGCTCTGATTCATCTGATGCAGAAACACACACCTGCAGTGGTTCTTCTTCTGTGGTGTTGCATCTCAGCAGGAGGAGTCTGGGCAGCCGAGCTCCAACAGAGGGACAGACGGACCATCTGAGGGCAGGTAACACCTGTTGGTCTTTCAACACTAATGAGGACCCTCACTGGCCCCTAGCCTAGACCTGACTCTCGCCTGAACCCTCAAACAGCCCCCTGAAGGAGTGAGGCCTGGACAACATGTGCAGAATGTCCTTACTTCCACAGACTTATGAGGACTTTCCACTGATAGACTCTTATTTACATCTTGTGAGGTTTTATGAATTCAATGTTTTTTCTCCCAGGTCTTCGTGGCATGACGATTATCTCACCAACCACGACCCCGACTCCAAGGTAGCATAACAAGAACAAACAGAATGGGTATTTTGTGGCATCCATGTGCTTTTGCTGCCTGTTTATTATGTACAGCCCCATGCTAGACCTCTGGTGCCTGTATCTGCACAGATCACTTTGGTTGTAATTGGATGCTGCATCCAAGAGTCATGGTACTCTGTTTTTTTATTACAACATAAATGCAAAATAGGGCTAAACTGTTTTAATGTGAGGATGCTTTTTCTATAGTCTGAGCAGAGCATCCATCTGTCAGAAGCACAAAGTGACAGTAGCTCAAATGAACTGATGAAAGAATTAAATTGAGCAGATGTCCTCTAATCTATTATAATCTCTCTCTCCTGCAGTTTATACAGCCTTAATCTGTTTGTCTCTCCACCTGCGTGTCTGTCTGTGTCCTGGTTTCTCTGCTTACCACCCAAAAACACCCTGCCTGCTTAATCTCACCTGTCCATCAGTGTTTTGCGGTGCGTTCACTGGGCTGGCTGCAGGTGGAGGAGGAGGACCTGTCTCCTGGTCGTAGCAGTCTTGCTGTCAGTAATGTCATCCAGCAGCTGTCTCACTGCAGCAGCCCCGAGCAGAGAGACAGGCTGGGGGCCTCGGGGGAGGTGAGACACACCTGCTCTACCTGTACCTGTCAGTATCTTTACCTGTCTGTCTCTCTCTCTTCCTGTCAGTGTATTTACCTCTCTCTCTCTCTCTCTCTCTCTGTGCAGGGTCGGGAAATGATGCTCGTTCTGAAGAAAGACACTCTGACCCTATTGGACCCTTTAGACCACACCCCCATCCACTGTCAGCCAATCATCAACATCCGTGTCTGGGGGGTGGGCTGCAACAACGGCAGGTGGCTGGATGACATCATCCAGTTGGTTTGACATTTCAGCTTTCAGCTTGTTCACCTGTTTGCACTAACACTATCATTCTCTCTGTTTCTTTGACACGCCCCACCCACACACCTGGGCAGGGACAGGTAACCAGTCTACCCTCACTTTATCACACCAGATCCGTGCACACTCACAGCTGCACTCATCTTCACACCCTCCTTTATACACTAGGGTCATTTACTGAGTTCATGCTGGTCAGATGATCACCTGTCCCTAACCTGGTCAATCACACTAACATGACTACTGTGCATGTGTGTGTGGCTCAGGGACTTTGCCTTCGTGGCGGGAGATAAGGACAGTTGTATGCTGAAATGTCATGTGTTTCGCTGTGATGCTCCGGCCAAAGCCATCGCTGCAGCTCTGCACGACATGTGCTCCAAGGTGAGCGTCTCTCCTGCAGGTATACTGTGTTTACATCCAGCCTCACTCACTTACCAAGTACTGGTGCTATCAACTTTTTCCTTGTTGTGTGAAAATTAAAAACACTGAACGGTAGCTGTAATAACACTAACAATCATTATATATTTAAGAAAACATAAAAAACAAGTGAAACACATCCAGATAACGTTGACATATTCCGGCTTGCAAGTCTAGTCTGAAAATGAAACCACAGATTTGTGAGGGGTCTTTGCACCTTCAGCACGAGCTGAAGGGCACGGACAGGTAAGGACAGCTGTGTGCGTGATAAACCAAAGGACTAGCTCTTTAACACTGATGTGTAAACAGTGGGATGTGATTTTTTTTGTCAGTAGATGATGTCGAAGGAGGCGCTGGTGAGGCCGCCTCACTCTCTGACAATGGAAAGCATCTCACCTGAAGACCTGCCCAGACAAGGTGACTACCCTGCCCTGTTGTCCGAGGTCACCTGCAGCTGCTCTCTGACCAACTCTTCAGTGATTCCTTGTTGTTTGTCATTGTCTCAGTGGAGTTCCTGGAGGCGGTGCACCAGCAGGTCCAGAAGTTCGAGGTCCAGTACATTGGGAACCTGCCGGTGTCCAGAGCCATGGGTAGGACAGAGACACACCTGAACACAGCAACATTCAGCCCTGAGTTTGGTCACTCACTGTAAAACAAACTAACTAAATTATTCAGTCATGCTTCATTGAGCATTATCTGCAAAAGATTCTAAAGCAGGATTACAGCTATCTGTGCTATCAGTCCTGGACATGCTAACAGCTAGCAGTCAGCTCACAGGTCAGGAACACACCTGAGGTGATCTCCGACTGCCACATCCATCCCTCCAGTGCCATTTTCATCTGGACTCAGACAAAACACTCCTGCTCTTACCTCCACTAGGTGTTTCCAAACCACCCAGCTGATAGTGTTGAAATCAAGGTGTGCTTGTGTGATGTTTGCAGGTATGGAGGTCCTGAACAGAGCGATAGAAAGCATCATGAATTCTACAGACAGAGACGACTGGGAGCCAACCGTGATCCACGTCACTGATAACGTCCTGTCTCTGTGGAAGGGAGAGGTACGTCACCATCACTGCCAGCATACAGGTAGCTACAGCTCTGTTGAATCTATTTAACCTGTTGACCCTGACCCTGGCAGGAAGGGGAGGAGCCCTTCTGGGAGTGTCAGGTACGTTTCCTCACCTTTCTGGGTGTCGGCCATGACAGCCACACCTTCGCAGTGATTGTCGATGGCGGCACACAGCGGTTCGAGTGTCACGTGTTCTGGTGTGAACCAGATGCAGGAATCATCTCGGAGGCCGTCCAGGCTGCGTGTATGGTGAGAAGTTTAAAAACAAACAAACAAACAAAAAAAAAACAATGCTGGTTATCTTCACGTCCCCAGCTTTTAGCCTGTGAAAACTCTTATGAGCCAGTTTTCAAATTTCTGAACAAAAAGTCTCAAGGTTTTGAGAATTCAGACAAGATTTTTTTAAAACTTATGACCCTGAAGATAGAGTAACAATAAGTCAGATTATTGCAGAGCTCATAAATAAACAGTCTCTTCTCTCTGTTAGGTCCAGTATCAGAAGTGTCTGGTGGCTCAGACTCCTCCTCCGAGGTCCAAGTCATTGCGTGTGACCCCCCCAAAGGTCAAACGAGCCAATTCCATGGATGGTGCTGCTTTCCCACCGCTCACTTCCCAGCACCATGGCAGCAGCAGCTCCACCACGATGACGCCAAGGATGACAAAGGCCAACAGCAGCAGCGTGAGGAAGGGGATGATGGCCTTCTTCGAAACCTTTCGGAACAAACAGACCGCCACCTCCTAATGACGGGGGCGGGACCATCGAAATGAACGCCAAACCTTTAGGACTGACATGTACTGTATTCTCCAAGACCATGAAGGCAAACTCCCGATTGGCTGAACTCACGGCCCTGGTGGTCCGACCGGCTGGTCCTGCTGCCTTCACATCACCAGCGACAACTCGTCTCCTGTTTGCTGGACCTGAAACATACCCATCTGAACTCATCACCATGCTTGTCTCACCCGCAGCCATGCCATCGGGGTCGGGGTGAACAACACGAGTGTCAGCATTCCGCTTCTGTGTTCCTGGACTGGCCGAAGCCACAATACTGGTCCTGGTACAACCAACGGACTGGATCCAGACAATACAAGAAGGATCCTGTCAATTAAGACCTGCCCCAGCACCTCGTCACCCCCCAGTTTAGATCTGTGGAAGATCATTTTATCCACAACTAAAACTAAAAAGGAACCTGAAAATGAAAAGGCAAATCAACTATTATAGTTTATGGCTTTAGAATTTATAATTGGGCTTCAATTCACTGTTTAAAAAAAGGAAACTGATAAAAAAGGATTGCAAATAGAAATAAACATATTCAACCTAAGTTTCTTCAGCAAACAACTGAAAGCATAAGGCCAGTGACATTGTATGTGTGTGTTATTCTGTACAAACCTCGTCCAGACACTGACAACACCAGTGACTGTGTGTCTGAATCCAGACACTGAGGAGGAAACCTGCCCCCGAGTGCAGCGGTGTGGCTCACTGGGGGAGTTAATAGCTGGTGGACAACGGTGAAGGTCTACAGCACAGAGCGATGAGCTGGACCAGGGTCTGGACTCACACACATTACGGTGACGACACCACATTCACTGGTGCTGCTGGTCTCTGGACGGGGTTGGTGGGGAATCACGCATAAAATCATTGGCTGCAGCCTTTAAATGTCATGTTCTCATTAAAGAAACCTAAAACTTTCACTGTCAAGTGTAATCTGAAGGCTGCTTCCTCTTAAACCTACCTGTAAAATAAAATGTAGAGGTCAGATAGAGAGGCATGTTTAACTTTAAATGTTGCTGTGAGAATCGTTTCCTGTTTGTTTATGCTTCAGGTTCATGTTCAGTGAAATATTAAAGACAACGGCCTAGATTTAAAGCTGCACCACCAGAGGTAATCACTCATGGTCATTAAATTCAAGCTCATGTCCTGGACCAGCTACTGTTATTGGTGGTATTTGAGATGTTCCTCGATGGCCTTGTGTTCATACACGGGATTAACAAACATCTTCTTGGTGAGAGGACCGATCAGATGGTGGGGTATAAACTGTTGCACAGGATCCACCAGTGTCTCCTCCATGTCATCCATTGACTTTCCTGCCATTTCCTTTGTGCTTCTTGGCTTCTCGCTCCTAAGTGTCACAACTGGTCATGAACTTCTGCCAAAACGCTGTCCAGTGGATGGTCAGGTTCAGGGATGATGAGCAGGCTGTACACTGCATCCAAGAAACAACAAACAGACGCTAGCAAAAACACAATCCCTGTGGCAGAGGTAATGATGCACTGAAATCCACAGAGACTAAACCTTGTGTGTTCAGCCTCTCCAACATTTGAGAGGGGCTTCATAAATCAAGGCTGTCAGGTTTACCTGGCATCAGGCCCATTCATCAGGCTAGTCACATCACCCACTGGTGTAAGGTCTTGGCCTCCTGTGCACATATGTGGACATCCAAGTATTCTATACTGTCTGGTGATGAGGAAGAATGAGAGGACCAGTGTTAAAATCAGTGGGACAGACCGAAACGCCGACTTTTCCAGTATTATTTAAATAGTTAGAGCATATATGTATATGATGGACACATAGTTTACAGACATGGTCGGGTGCAGCCACAGGGCCCAGGATAAAACAGAAACAACCTCCAATGCAGGTCATTGAAATAAACCACTGGGTCAGTGATTAGTCACTTCACAGCAAGAAGGTTCCAGGTTTGAGCCCTGGTTGACACGAGGCCTTTCTGTGTGGAGTCTGCCTGTTCTCCCTGTGCCTGCATGGGTTCTCTGGGTTTCTCCTACAGTCCAAAAACATACAGCTTAGGTTGACTAGTGACTCTAAATTGCTCATAGGAGTGAGTGGTGTAGATAATGGATGGACGGATGTCCCTGCTGTGTGTCCGTCCTCCAGCAGAGACAGGGGGGTTCTCTGAGAAACAGTCGGCCAATGCTGTCATGTCAGTGTCAGGATCTGACCTCCACACACACCCATTCACTACTTCCAGCCGATCACCAGGACAAACTTGTATCAGGAGCGTCACTACTAAAATAAGGTCAGTAGAGTCAGTGGGCTCCGGCTGATACAGATCCAACCAGCAGCTCCTGTCTCCTGCTGCTACAGCCTTCATCTGACTGCAGTCTTCACGCACAACAAAACACACACTTCTGTGAGGATTAGTTTTTATTTAATGTTTGGGCACAAATGTTAAAAATTAAATGCTAATTGTTTCTCAGTGAATTTAAACTGGGTCACACCCCCTGACCGCACATCTGTGTTACTTCAACACTAAATCACTTACATATTGTGTTATTATTCCCCTAAGGCTTTAACTCAAACACGTTCCACTAGAAAACAAGCCCTTCCCACCAGGTGAATGTCACACATGCTGACAGCAGCCTGAACCAACCCACTGTGCCAGGACCCCGCATCAGGACTTTGGCAGAACAAACTGGACACTGCTCGTTGGAGTCCAGCGTGAAGTTTTATTATTCACCACATCAAGGCCCTGAACAGCGTGGGTTTATAAAAACATCCATCACAGAATAAGTTCAATAAAACCTCATTTTACAGAGCCATGAACACGTCACGTGACTCCTGCATGGAAGCCTGAAGCGAACGAGGCGCTGTGCTTCCTGGCTGTGAGAATGGGCTCAGCACATGTCAGACTCGTCTCTGCTCTGGACACACACACAGGAAACGTGCGGGACTTTTGTCTGACTCAAAATGTTCTGTAAATTTGCTGGAATGGAAAAAAGAGAAGTAATAAATCTTCATGATGATTAAACAGAACAGAGGCTGATGATGTAACATATATACAACATAGTAACAAGTCTACACAACCCAGACATTGTTCAGAGGTGTTCCTAATATTGTGACTCTCTCATGTTTGTAGCTGGGGAAGACAAAAATATTATAGAGACGCCTCTGAATAAAAAACTGAAACATTTTGAGCTTCAAGTGAATACAATAGTACAGGTGTACCTAATAAAGAGGCTGTTGAGTTTACATTAATATATGTGTAAAAACCGATCATAACGTGCACACACACCAACTTCAAGGGTTAGCAACAGTCAGGTAGAATTGTATACTGTATATTTAAGAAACGCCCCTGGACTCAGACCAAACATGTCAAATGGCTGACAGGATGTGACTTCCTGTAAAATGTCTCTCTTCAAAGAAAACAGGCAGTCACTTGCGTCATAGTCACAACCTCGTGTGTTGGTGAGGAGCAGCAGATGTGTCCGTCATGTCTCATCATGTCAAGGCTATTGTGAAGAGAAAACGGTCACCTGGTTCATCAGTATGGAATATTTTAACTCTAAACAAATCTAAATTTGGGATTGGTCTCAAAAATTCTGTATCGATCAGGCTGATGTGGCTGATGCAACATGTGACGTGATCTGTGACTACCCTTGAGCAGTCACATGAACCAATTCAGCGTTGGTGGGGACCAGCAGGTGTGGCAGCCATTTCATCCCCATTCAATCAAAGAGCAGCACATTGCAAGAATAAAAAACACATTCCAAAGCTGCTTCACTCATTTTACCTGCAGCAAATGAACCACCAACAAAGGCATCGCTCTCCTCCTGCAAAAGTGATTGTGGTTAAAGATGATTTGGTTGCTTGTAGAGAACAGATTTACTTTTGCCATCATCTGTTGGAATTTGGCCCAGTGTGTTCTGATCGAGGAGAAACGATCAGTAAAATTCTTACAAAAACGTTTTTAGTGCAGTGCTTGAAGGCAGCATGTTGCTTTGGAGGCGCCTTTTCAGTCAGACATGACGAAGGCGGCAACCTCA